AGTTGTATATTCGTAAGTTCCAGGAACTATTTCTGACCTTCTAATGGCATTGTCGCATTCGTTATACCATTCGGAAACATTTCCGTTCATGGCATCCAAAACTGTTGGCGTTATATTCTGAGCGGCGTACATTTCATATGAGTAAAAATATAGAATAGTTGGATTTATATGTCATAATAGAACCCACGTGGACCAAGCTTTACTTTCTTCCTGACTGAGTTTTTAACTCTTCTTTTTCCTTCATTGCCCTCTGCTTGAAGTTGTTGCATCTTTGCATTATGTTCATCTAGTATGTTGCAAATTTCCCATGTCCTTTTTGCCTTTTGGCTCTGGTCGCCCATCTCAGGTAACCTATATCCTAGAAAGAGTTTGTCATAGTCTGTATTTGAGTCTTCGCGTATTGTTTGCATGACTCTTTCCTGAGTTTCCGGTTCAAGCTCTTCAAACAGTGCCTGTCCATATGGAATATGCTCGTTTCCAAATATATGTTTTTGTAGCCATTCTGGTTTTCTTTCCATGTTACCAACTATATCTTTTGTGAATGGGAAAGCTTCTACCCAATCTTTCAGTCTTGCGTCGTTTATTTCTGTAGTTGGTTTTATTTTGTCAAGGAACATGTTTTTCAATACTAACATTTCATTTGGTACTGTCCATTTGAGTTTTCTTAAATATTCATCCCTTCTCAGTTCATTGTCTGCAAAGTAAGTTTTTATGACATTTTGTAAACTTTCGTTTGCAAGGTCATGTACAATAGGTTCTCTTCCTTCGCTCTCCCTAACTTTCTTTCTAAACTCTTCACCAAATATACCATCTCTATGGTTCTGTGTAGTTCTTTGAGATAAATGTTCTAGAACGTCAGGTGTTATATTTCCATCAGCCATGTTCATTTCATACTGGTCCAAAATATCTGCATGTTTCATATCTTTCAATGGCATTAAAGCCGCGCTGAAAATACCAGCTATATCTCGTTCACCATTCGCTTCCATTGCGTCTACAACTTCTTGGAATTGAGGTTGTAAGTTTATGAACCACCTATCCGGATTAGCTTTATGACCCCATCTCATTGTAGTTCCATCGTCTGCAGAAACAAAAGTAGGTTTGTTTCCATCTTGGTTAGGTTCTGAATGAACTTTAAACAATGTTTCATTTCTATATGTTTTCTTGAAATTTAACCTTTTATTTTCACCGAGTTCATCCGAAGATTGAACGTTAAATGCTCGTAAGTAAAAAGGTTGTTGTATTTGCGTACATTTTTTTCAGTTCTTCCATTCTTGCTGAATATTTTCATCTGATGTTGGAGTCTTTTGTATGTCGGCGAACATTTTTCGATATTCTTCTACTATGTCAGCCGAATTTTTTTTAGACTCTTGGAAAGATTCCATATTCTCCGCATACTCTTGTTGAGGGTCAAGATTTTTCGGCTGTTCCAAATCTTCATCTAGTTCTGTGAAGTTAGTTTCCAAAGGAGGCTTGTTCGTTTCCTTCAGGCTCTTCTAGCTGTTGTTGCTGAACTATTTCTTCCATGTCTGGTTGTATCTGAACTTCTTCCTGTGGAGTTTCTTGTACCTCATCTGCTGGCATTTCATATATTCCGAGACCGTTTTCAACAATTTCCCTATCTACGTCATCCGCATTCATAAGCTTTTGTTCTTTCGTTCCGTCTCTATTTTTTACGCGTTTCATGACGAAAGTTGAATTGTCATTTAGCTCTGACATCAAATATCTCGGAGTAAATTCATCCATGTCATTTGGATGATATGCTATTAAATCATATCCCTTAGCGAGCTTGTATTTTCCAGGTTTGAGATTATATCCGTTTTGGTGCTGAGCCATAAAGCTAAATAGGTTCGGGTCAGTATTTCCATCCTTGAACTTTCCAATAGCTTCTTTATATCTGTCACTAAAGTCAACAGTATCTGGGAAACCACACTCTTCTTTAAGCATTTTTAAGAATTCTTGGTTTCCTTGTTCTCTACTTCTTTTATGTCCTTGCTCTGTTTGTGGTGTTGTTGTGCAGGGTTTTGAACTGTTGGTTGCTGTGCTGGTTGTTGTGTTGGTTGTTGTGTTGGTTTTGGTGCATGCCTGTGTCTATGTCCATGTGACGATGTAAATGTTTTAGGTAGTCCTGGTGCAGGTGCTTCTCTTGGAGGGTTTGGTGGTATATAAGTTCCACCAGCTGGCACATATGTTCCATCTGCAGCGTAATGTCCTACCTGACTTTTCGTTTTTAAGAAAGCATTTACTAGGTCTGTTTTGGTCTGTTGTAACTCTTTTCTTGACTTTCCACAACAGTTGCTCTAACGGCGTCATAGGCACTTTGAACTGCCTGTCTCGTTGCTGCATCTGTTATTTTCGTCATATTTTGTGCTACTTCTTTTAACTCTTTGTCGAAACCTTCAGACTTCAGTTTCTTTCCAGATGAGAAGTCGTTCACTAGTTTCACCTTACTATGAAGAGCTTCGAAGGCATTCTTAAAGTCAGCATTCGTTAAAGCTTCATTTGAACTGTCTTCATCCGCTTGTATTTTTGTCCTTATTGACCCTATAAGTTGGGCTGCTTTAGCGTTGGCTTGGGCATCTAACCAGTCATTATATAGCTTTTATATATTCTGCGCTTTTTCATTGCCTTTTGCATGGCTGCGTCGTTATTTTTACTTTCTTGTGCTAAGTTTTCATACTGTACGGTTTGGTTTTGCAACTGTAAAAGTTTTTCTGCCTTTACATTTGCTTCAACTTCTTTTTTTATACTCATCGCTATCCATATATGTTCTTCAGGGCTTTTTGTTTTATTTCTTCATCTTTCAGTACTTTATATTGAGTAGTATGGTTTTTCAAATTTATAACATCTTGTTCCATTTTTGCTAGTTCTGCTGCTTTTTCTGACACTTTCTTCGCATATTCCTCTGTACTTAGTTCTTTAGTTGTTCTTCTTTCTTCTTTTTCTCTACGTTTAACTCATTGAGTTTCTTTGTGTGTCTGTCATATTCTAGTTTCTTTTCGTTTTCACTTATTTGTTTCTGTATGTCTATGTTTGACTTTTTGACATCTGTTATTTGATTTTTGAGTGAACTCAAATTCATTTGACTTTGAGGGTTATAGCTGTTCCGTCTGCAGCTCCACCATAGCCTGCCATTTTCGCTAAAAGTGCCGCTCTTAAACCTCCACTCTGTGCACCAATAACTCGGTTTAAAAGCATAGGATTGCTTGACATTTGTTGCAACATAGTGGGGTCATTCATCATTTGTTGTTGCAACTGTTGTTGTGGTGTCAGTTTTACTATTGGATGTTTCAATGCTCTCTTCCTCTTACGTATATTCTTACGTAGCTTACGTGGCATTTTAAGTGAAGTTAAAAAGCGGTTTTTGACAGATGTTTATATGACACTTTTTGTTCAGCACAAAAAACTACTCGGTCAAAGTGTTGTCAGTTTTGTAAAATAACCGTCCTATCTCATTCTATAAGGGGGAAAGGCTTCTCAAAGTATACTTCCTTGGAACGCCTGTAACTTTTCCTGTAGCGACGATAGACCCTTACTTGTCCGGACAAAGTTATACTATTTTGAGTGCTCTACAAAAAAGTCAACAGCGACGACTCTCAAAAACCGTTGTGTAAAAAGTTTTACCGTTGGACAAAAAAGTATATATAGAAAACAAAAAACGTTTATAGTTCATTCAATATTTGAGATGGAACGGTTTTCCAACGGTAACTATTAAATAAAATAAAAAAATAGAGGGGGTCTCCGTTGACGAAAACGGTTTATTAAACTCTTATTGAAAAAAACAGTTTATTTTTGTCTAATGGCATTCGCTAGCGTGTTCGCTCCAAATTCACCTGAAGAAATTGCTTGCAGACTTTCAGCACCCACAGGTTTAGAACCTCAATATCAAACTGCAGCATCTACACATTCTCCAAGCAGAACAGACAATTCAAATTCAAATTTGTCCTGCAATTCACTCAATCCAAAGCCACTTTCACTACCAAAAACAATACCAAACGAGCTCCGTATTACAAAGAACCACAGCAACGCTGAACTACGCAAAATACTACTCAGATTGTCTGAAGAATACTTCAATTCAAAGCCAGAAGAAAGAGTTCCTGCAACTTTTAACAAAGAATATTGTGAACAACTCAACAAAGTTCTTGCAGACTTTACCAAACTACAAAAAGAAACACCTGACCCATTCGAATTAGGTGACACAATTGTCAACTATTTTCCAACAATAACAAAGATAATGGTTGACAGAACTATATGTCAGCTTATTGAAAGTCTTCCACCCAAAGCTGCAAAAAAAGTCGAACAGCTTTGGGTCGAATTCAAATCAAAGAGTTACGGATATCAGGATGACGAAGAAGAACGTGAGTACGGACAAGAAACAGCAAAATGGCAATGTCTTAGCTCACTCAACCCCAAGTTCAAACCATTATTTTACTCAGACAACAACACAATTCAAGTACGCAAAATTGCTATTCATTTCGTTAACCAAGCAGAAGACATTGAAGAAGGAGACTCTATCTCAGTTTATGTTTGCTACTGCAAGTTTTTCAAGGACGAATTTGGAGGACCAATTCTCATGCATGTCTTCAAGCCACATCAGCAACTCTACGTTGAAACTGAAATAACACTCATGCATGGAATGTATCTCAAGTTTGAAAGCCAATTGGAAAACACATACAACATTTGGCTTTCATACATTCAGTTCGATACACCAGATGACTTTGATGTTGAAGAAGAAGAGTCCTCCGAATTCACACCAGAAGACTAACAATTTTCCGAATAAAAACTTCATTTATACTAAACATCTTCAGGGCTAGAGGGCACGAAGTGCCTGGAAGCCCCACTACCTTTTTTTTTTTTGATTTATTTTTGACGATTTGAATGGATAAAAATTTTCAGCAAGGTTTTGGTTATTTTCAAATGAAAAAAATACCCGCAATGCAACCTAATCAAATATAATAAACCTCAAAATTTTGTTTGAATAAATTGATTACATCTTGTAATCAATGAACTTCAAGGCATCCAAGCTTATATACGAAAGTTTTAGCAGCATTTTAGAGCTTGAGTACAATAGCATAATCAACTTAGGTAAATCCATTCTCATTCCATCATTCGGCCCCGACCTACTTAACATATTAATCGAGGAAAGTTTAGAGTGCTTTAAAGGTCAAAAGCCGTTAATATTATTCAACGAAAGAGCTATCGTTGTAGGGGATATTCATGGAAATTTACATGATTTACTTAGAATCCTAAAAATTAACGGTCTCCCGCCAGATACTTATTACATTTTCTTAGGGGATTATGTTGATCGTGGGGAATACTCAATAGAAGTCATCTCACTCCTTCTTTCTCTTCACAATTTATTTCCTGAGCAAATTTTCTTACTTCGTGGTAATCACGAAACACGTGAAACAAATGAAGTCTATGGTTTTAAAACAGATATACTCTACACATTTTCAAATACTGATCTCTGGGAACAATTCAACAATATTTTTGATTACTTTCCAATTGCAGCAATTATTAATGATACTATTTTCTGTGTTCATGGTGGCCTTTCACCTCAACTTCATTATATTGATGAAATTCGTGAATTAACCCTTCCAATGCATGATTTGCCTCCACAAGTCAATGACATGCTATGGAGCGATCCATCTGATATGTTTGATGGATTTTCTGAAGGTGATCGAGGAATTGGATGTATTTTTGGCCAAAATATCACCCAAGATTTCTTAGACTCAAATAAATTGAAAACAATCCTTAGAGGACACCAATGTTGCTCGAATGGAGTTAGAAGTTCTCATGATGGAAAAGTTATCACTGTCTTTTCTTCATCCAATTATGAGATGACTAATAACTACGCGGCATATTTGCGGATCGGCTCAAAAATACACATCAGAACCCTCGAGAAAGTAAAAAGAGTAAGAAAGCGAAGTGCAAATTTTCAGTCCGTTGCTCTTCCTACCGAAGAAGAAACAGGTGATTACAAGTTAACCAACATTATTTCGTACATATTCTCTTTCTTTGGAAATAAGAATAACACCATTGAGGAAACTGAAGTCCAGTGATCGAATAATCGATGAAATGATGCAGAATAACAACGAAATTTTTCTCATTAGAATTGTTTGTTATGAATAAACCATGTATGATATAAAACTTAAGATCATTTTCTATAGGAGAATTTAAATTTTTGTTGATCCGAATTGAAAGAAAAAAAGTCAATCAAAATTAGGATTGAAAAGCCCATTATATTATAAGAAAGATATAAAATTATAAATGGCATAAAAAATTAAATATTGGTGGAATTGAGGACTTCGTAAATCGATCGTAAGTTAAGTGAGGGGAATCGAATAATATTGAATTGCATGTGATGCTTATTATAATATTTCGAAATGACTGAAAACCTCGTAAAATTGATTAAAATCTTATAAAAATGATAAAATCCGAAGGGCTGTATGTATATAAAAGATCCGCTCTGAATAAATATTAAGGGCAGGAGGTTTGAAAATAAAAAATAACTTTTGAAATTTTATATATTAGCTTTTTATTTTGTAGATATTTACAATAATTTGTAATGTTGTAAACAGAAATTCATCAAAAGTGACACCTCAGAAAAGCTAAAATATTGAATTTTTGGAACTTTTGATAGAGCACGTTTTTAAATATTAATTAAAGTAAATGTATATTTTGTAAAGATTCTTTTTAATAAAAAAATAAAATTTTGAAGAAGAACACAAAATCTTCTGAAAAATAATATCACATAAACTCATATTATTTTCTAATATATAACTATTTTATATAAAAATCAAATTCAATGATCTTAAAAGCGAAGGATAAACCTCAAAATTTACGAATATAATGAGTGGGAATATAATGCTTATCTATCATAAAACCATATGAAATATCAATTTTTGCTTTACGCCTAATTTTTGACGACAATTAGCAAAAAATGTTAAATGTTAACACTCAGTCCATTTGAATATGAAAAATAAAATTGACTTTGATTAAATGTTTTTATTTATCATGCAATTCTTCTTGCGACCAAAGATTTGAATAAAACTTCAAAAAATAAGATAGCTTAAAAAATAATATACGGTAGTGTTTACTAATAGATGAATAGTATATAAATTCTATTAAAATGGATTTGATCCAAAAAATATATAAAATTTGATCATAAATAAAATCGTTTTAAATTACTTCTTCATTTAAATTATAACAATTTTATTTTTCATATTCAAATGGACTGAGTGTTAACATTTAACATTTTTTGCTAATTGTCGTCAAAAATTAGGCGTAAAGCAAAAATTGATATTTCATATCGTTTTATGATAGATAAGCATTATATTCCCACTCATTATATTCGGAAATTTTGAGGTTTATCCTTCGCTTTTAAGATCATTGAATTTGATTTTTATATAAAATAGTTATATATTAGAAAATAATATGAGTTTATGTGATATTATTTTTCAGAAGATTTCATTCTATATGCCTATAAAAAGTACTCTCAAAACTAACTTTTTCCTAATTATAATTAAATCTAGAATATTGTATTATGCTTAGTATTATTTCATTTTTCTCATTCAATTTAGAATTTACAAATGTAAAAAAATTGAGAGCTGTCACTTTTGATGAATTTCTGTTTATTACAGTAACAATAAAAAATCCTCAATAATATATTACCACAATTTTTTGAATAAAACTAATTGGTCTTAGTTCAATATGATATCTGAACAATTTTAAGTAACAATTGCGTGATTTGAAGATTAAAATAAAATTGAATTAAGAAAAATTTTTTGGAAAATACTCATAATAATTATATCAGTTTATAATTATTATAATTTACAATCATTCGCTAATTCAATAAATAATTTTGAAAATGCAAAATCAAAAGTTACGATTATTCATTGAAAACAATCGATCGAGAAATTAATGAGATTTTCATATTTTTATTTACCAATTCTTGTTTATTAAGATTTAATGAACTATTGCCAGTTCTACTAACCTCATTGAAAATTTTCTCCCTCAAAACTATTAATTCAAACTTATACTTAAAGTTTAAAAATACTCATTACATTTTATTATACATTTTCTTATTTTCCAGTAAAATTGTTTTAAATCACATCTGAAAAAAAGATTTAAAACCATTTTTCTCTTTGCATGCCAAGAATCCAAGGTAATAACGAAAATAAATTCCTTAGACTCATGGTCACGCCCGATGTTTATAACGCAGAAATCATTAATTGCGTTCCTGTCAGAAGACCCCTTGATGTCCCTTCGACAATCATCAAATTAGGCAAAGTTCTCTCGCATTCGGGCTGCGTTTGCAAGACTACAAGAGGATACGTCCTTATTGAGTACATGTCAAGCAACCAGGTCTTTGTTTCCAAAGTCTATAACTATCAAAATGGAATGCACGAGTTCAATTTCAAGAAATATCACTTTATCCTTGATGATGACAAACCACAGGAGCCAAAAGAAAAATGCACTGTTCGCCAATTCGCTGAAAAGATGATTGAGTACACCAAAAACAAACAATTCGATACTTTCAGCCACAATTGCCATCATGCAAGATATGATACAATGAATTTCTATGGAATGAAATCTGATAACCCAGATGCTGGTAAATTCAATCTCTTCTATCAAGGTTTCGTTGACTACTTCACCAAGAAATAAGTCCTAGATTTTCCATCCATTTATTTATTATCTATTTGTTTGTAGTTATCAGTTATTATTTGGAATTTTAATTGATAAAATTTTATTATGAATTGAATTAATAACTTCTCTATTTTGCTTTTTTCTTTTTCAATATATTTCTTTAAACTCCGGCCCTTGCACTCCTTATAATTCCTGAAATTGTTACACATAAATGTATAGCGCTTATCATTATTACATTATTGAACCATATTTGATTCATATACAGAATCATTGGGAAATGCTGTAAAATCTTTTATTTTATTTTCTATTGGATTTTAAAACGCATCATAATCTTTTAATTTTTATTGAAATTAAACCTATTCTTCTAGTTATTAATAAATTATCTACTATTTTATCTTTTGATTTTTTATCATTTTGAGTAGGGGTAATTTTAGCTAAAAGTGACACACCCATGAAGGGTGTGATTACCGATCGGTAATTTCGACAGTTTAGAATTTAAAATTTTTTATGGAACTGTTGCGAGTTTCATAAAGAATTTAAGGAATATAAGCAAAGATTTGAATCAAAATCTTAGACCTAAGCCGCTCGATTCGCTCGCGGCTTCCGCGAATTACAGATCAGCAAAGATTTGAATCAAAATCTTCGAACTAAGCCGATCGCTTCGCTCGCGGCTTTCTTTATTATTTTAAATTTGCATATTTCCATCAAAAGTTCATAAGGTAAAAAATTTCGTTTATTTTTACTAAGAAAAAAAAGGTTTTTGATAATAAATTTATTTTATTTCGAAAAAGTAGCAATAATCGTAAAAGGGTATTGATAGGCTTGCTAAAGTAACTAATTTTAGCTGTCAAATACTTTTGTATTTTGAAGTAAATTAGTATAAATTTGTTTTTACTTTTATTTCGAAAAAGTAACAATAATTGTAAAAGGGTATTGATAGGCTTGCTAAAGTAACTAATTTTAGCTGTCAAATACTTTTGTATTTTGAAGTAAATTAGTATAAATTTGTTTTGACTTTTATTTCGAAAAAGTAACAATAATTGTAAAAGGGTATTGATAGGCTTACTAAAGTAACTAATTTTAGCTGTCAAATACTTTTGTATTTTGAAGTAAATTAGTATAAATTTGTTTTGACTTTTATTTCGAAAAAGTAACAATAATTGTAAAAGGGTATTGATAGGCTTGCTAAAGTAACTAATTTTAGCTGTCAAATACTTTTGTATTTTGAAGTAAATTAGTATAAATTTGTTTTGACTTTTATTTCGAAAAAGTAACAATAATTGTAAAAGGGTATTGATAGGCTTGCTAAAGTAACTAATTTTAGCTGTCAAATACTTTTGTATTTTGAAGTAAATTAGTATAAATTTGATATTATTTTAACTCCCTTTGAAAACCTCAATTTTCCATACAGAGGGAACGGGAATAGCATCCAATATTCCCTGAGAATGGTTGCGCATTCTCAGTTCCCTCTATATTTCGAACGAAGCTCTCATCGGTCTTTTTTTTTAATACTAAACGTTTTTTTCCTGTCACTTTTAGCTAAAATTTGGGTTTGCCAAAAAATATCCTCTTTCAAAAATACGTTTTTTATGACGAAAAATTTTAAAAATGGCGGAAACTGAGGCAGAGAAGAAGGGCGATGCTCCTAACTCTGGTCTCAACATATCGCCAACTATAGATATTAAACAGAAAATCATCGATGGAAGTGAGAAAATAGAATTTAGCTCAAGAGAAGACGAAACTCCAGCTTCAGATCAAATAAAAATCGAAGAAGTCGTCAAACCCGATCAACAAGATGAATTAGAAAAGCCTGAAGATGAACCGACTGAAGAACAAGTTAAAGGGCTCCTTGATCCAATAAAAAACGAGATAATAGAACAAGCTGCTATTGCTTTAACTCCTAATAATGAGGAAGAAAAGCCTAAAGAAGAAGAACAGAAAAGTCCTACAGCTCTCTCTGGAATTTTGCAAAAACCCGCTCAACAAATTGTCGAAAAACAAGAAAATCATACGGAAGAAAAACAACCAGAAGAAGAACCTAAACCTGAAAATGAAGATCAATCTGATAACGAAATGTTACAAATTAATATTGATGATAAAATCAAAGAAATTCCAAAACAAATCAATGAAGAAATGGCTGCCGAAAAATCAAAAGACGAAACTGATGAGAAAAAAGACGATCTATCCTTCTTCAACGATACTTTTCAAACAGAAACGAAAAAAGTTACTGAAGCAAGCAATCAATCTGAATCAGAAGCCTCAGAACCTGTTGAAAGTGAACAGCCTCCTCCTCGTGAGGAACAAAAAACTCAAAAGACTGCAAAAAGAGAAGAAATTCATTTCGATTCTAAACCAAAAAGAAAACGTGCTAAGAGCGTTTTCGGTGATGAACCAATGCCTTATACAGAAAACGACTTAGAAATGGCTTACAATGCTTTTGTAAAAAAGAACGAACTACCACCTTTCTTAATGAGAGATTATGTGATCGATTATGCTCGTGTTCATGCTCTTAAAGCAGCAATTGCTGAAAATTACGATGAAGCAGCGAGAAGAGAGAAAATTGTTGATAATATTGTTGCTGCCTTTAACAATGACCAAGGACAGTTCGATACTGATACGAAACTGGGCAGTCTTGAGCATAGATTGCAGTTCGCTCGCGATCAGAAACAGAAAATTCATTCAAAATATTTACAGCAAATAGAAGACCTCAAAACCAATGAAAAGAAGAGAATGGAACAGCTTGTTGCATATCATAACCAAGAAATTGAAGATTTCCAAGCAGATTGTCAGACTCCTGATTTTCTTCTCAAATTTTCAAAGCCTTCTCTCAAATTATTACAGTTACGGAAACAACAGAAAAACTTAGCCCTTGCACATGACTTCGACGGTGCCAAATCTATCAAATCTACCGCTGATCGCTTGCAGGCTGCTGAAACAGCCGCAGCAAGAGACAGAGCGGCAGATTCAGTGAAATTAAAGTATAAAGACATTGTAGAGAGGCATGAAAGGGCAATTAAGTGTCAGAGACTCAACTCTCAGAGAAAGATAACAGAGAAAGAAACACAAATGAAGTGTGAATTAGATTCATATGACAAATTAATAAAACAGCTATTGGATAAGATCAGAGAAGCTAAGAATGGCAAAGTAACGACTCTTCCTTCTCTATCTACTGGTCGTCCAATACCTCTTAGCGCTAATAAAAAGATTTCTCAGTTCAGGAGGTCTTCTGCCAAAGCAAAGCTTGACGTGAAGCTTGGTAATATTAATAAGATATTGGGTTTGTATGTGAAATGATTTTTTTATAAAAATGTTTATTTGATTCTATGGTAATAACAATATTTTTTTTCTAATATATTAAAATCATCTGAACCAACGATGCAAACCATTTGACATATCCCAATTAACTTCAAAACGCTTGTCCAATTAAATCAACAAACATGAATAATTTTTTATTGTTCAGATGTTTTGCGAGATTATGTAATTTCTTTCATAGAAATAAATCTCATACATTAATGGAAATTGCATCATATGTCCATTTATGATATAAAATGAACTTTCTTGAATAAATATTACATTCATTTTAAAATATCTTAAAGAAAGAAGCCATTTGAAACAGAAACCAAAAGATATGCTTTTGCTATTTCTGAGAGTACATTGTTGTAATGAATATAGTTGCAAGGCGAGTGAGAAAATTGCAAAAAAACATTTCCGATAGAAATTGTACGTTAGGCTTTGAATTATTGTTAATTCGTATCTTCGAGAAGTATGGAATAATTCAAGAATAAAGAATTTGAAATATAAAATAAAAACGTGACAGCTTCTTTTGTTGGAACTCTTAGTCCAATGTCAAAGGTCCTGATTAATTATTTAAAGAAACAAGTTGAGGAGCTACGTAATCAGAACAGCCAGCTTGTGCTGGAAAATGAACAATTAAAAACAACACTCAAGAATTCAGCGCCAACAACTCCGAAGAAACAAGATAAGCAGAATGTTGAAGAAATAAAGAAGTCCGCAAAAGAATTTGATGATCTAGTTTACTGTAATACTCAACTCGCCCTCGCAAACGAAGCTCTCGCAGATACAATTGAACAGCTAAAAGAAGAGCTTGCAGCAACGAGGAAGAACGAAGATAGCACTATTGGCGAGTATAAGACCGATCAGTTCATTGCCAAAGTCCAAGAAGAGATGAGAAAAGAAAAATTAAATTCCGATAAATTAGCAGAGGAAAACAAAGAACTTAAAACATTGTTATTAGAGCAAAACGAAAAACTCAAGAAACTAAGAGCAAATTCACCAAAGAAATCAAACGAAAAAGGAAAAAATCAAGAATTAATCAAAGCTTTGCATCTTGATCCAGATACGGCCAAATACATCAACGAACTACCTGATGCTAAGGGCTTCGCTCAAATTCAAACTATCATCAACCAAATTAACGAAAAAAGTAAATTACAATATGAAGTCTTAAATGGCGTTCTTTTCGAGTTAAAGAAATTAATGGAAGCAGAAATGAATACTCCTGGTACTCGTGATCGGTTATTCATTGATTTCGTCGATCAAAATATTAAAATTCACGGAGGAGGCAAACAAATCGCTCTTCTTACAGGAACAAACCTTTCAAACAGAGCTGTCCCTTTGGAGAAGTTCATAGACAAAGAAGATCCTCTTTACCAGCTTTTTATCGCTCAATTTTTGTTATCATGCAAATTAATCAAACAAAACTCGCGTTACACCGAAGAATTCGAGCGTATTAACAAAGAAATGGCCAAGCATGGCATGAAGGACATCAGTGAACTTGAAAACGTCATAGTTTCTTCGATGAATAATGAAGATGAAAATGATTCTTTATTAGAACGGAACGCAAAGGTCACAGAAACGAACAGATTATTATCAGCAGAGAACACACAGCTCGCAGACCATCTTGCAGAGCTTTCCAAGGATCATTCATCATTATCATTAAAATTAACAGAGAAAGACAAACAAATAGACACTCTTAAGAAGATGAACTCGCTTCTTAAAGGAGAAAATGAAGATCAGAAGGCTCAAATCACTCAGTTAATGGATCAAATTTCGAATATAAGTAATCCAATCACAATTAAGTCCCATTCTGACATTATATCAGCAGGAATTGTTGATGATTTGAGGAATAAAGTTTCTAAGCTTCAATCAAAGGTCAGACAACTGAAAAGGAAGCAAAGAAACGAAATTTCCGAGTTAACAGGAATTTATGAGTCCCAGAGGATGTCGTTATCACAGAGTGCTGAAATATATCTATCGCAGGCATCAGCTGAAGCCAGGAAACTCCCAGAAGACCTTCAAAAGTCAAATCTCGACATAATGAGGAAATCTAATGAAATAGAAGACCTCAGACGCCAAATTGATAGTCTAAAGAGAGGAAAGGCAACATTAGAAGCGCAGTTAAACGAATCAGAAAGGAAGAATTCCAAATTATTACAAAGTTCTCAAGAAAAAGAGATCCAGTTTGCAAAAGAACTCGCTGAAAAGCAGAGGGAAGATAAAAGGAAGACGAAAGAGTTGAAACAGTCCGCTGTTTGGCCTTTCCTTTGCGCTGCAAACATGGTCGCTTTGGAATATGGAATTAGCGTTGATGATATCAATGATTTCGCTAGAGTAATGCAATTGGCAAAGAAAGATATTAGCAATTTGAGATACTTCCAACAAAACTCTGTTAAATTTACGAAATAATTATACAAATTTTATTTTTTCATTATCGTTTTTATAAAAAAGGTATTGTAATTATGAGAAACATGTATATATTATTTAATATTATGTATAAAGCTAATGATCGAGCAGAAAAAAAATTGAATAAAATAAGGTCACGAATTATATGAAATAAATAGTTTAATTATTCTCTTTCCCTGATCTATAGCAATATAATCGATTAATTATCCTAGCCAAGGATAATTGATATTCCTTTGTGCGTTGTCATTATATAGATTGTGATTTCTGATGCCTATTTAACTAATCTGGTGATTAACTGAAATCAATGAGCAAGGAATAATGTTTTTTAAGAATGACCATTTAATCCAAGAAACATAAAATTCTTCTGAATTTGAATATAACTATTCGATTTGATAATATTAATGGTCGTGTGTAGATTTATCGAATCAGAGTTACCTGGATTGTATGGAAAGCCAATACATTTTTTTTGATTTTTTGAATTTGAAACAAAAAGTCAAATGACCGTTTTCTAATTTAATCCATAAATTCTCTCAAAAATAATGCATAGTCGCGATAGAATTACTATCCTGTTGATCTACTGATATCAAAAAACGCATAAACAATTATTTGGAGTTAGTCGGATAACAAAAAATAATCTTTCTCTCAAACCCAATATATTAAATGTAATCACATTTACCATGTTATAAGAATACTACTCATCTGCAATGTTGACTGATCTACGGGTTTATAAAATATCCCCACATCACCTGTGATTTTTGCTCAGAAAATCGGTCATTTAGCAGATAAAATCTTACTTGATGATTATTTGTAATCATCATATCTGTATGCATTAATGATATATAATTAGTTTGGAAATTAATTTATTTTGATGGCAATTATGCCCATCAAAAATTCAGGAAAAAATTGAATGATACGATATGCAAAATTTAATTTCAAAGATAATATCGGACTCTAAAATATGTTAATAATTTACTTAGTAACAATATAAATAAGAAATGTATTAATGGCCATGTGTATATTGAAAAACTTTCTGTGAAATATTTCAATTTTTTGATGATTGGTCAAATTTGAGAGCGAACTCTCAAAATCCGTTACGGGAAAATTTAATCATTATAACTCTTAGTAAGATGCAAGTTTGGATTCACACATGCGATAATAAGATCTACCGCCACACATTCAGTCATAATGACTCAGTTCAATCTGTTCAGGACATTGCAAACATGACTTGCCAATCCTTAATTTTGTATAACAATACAATTCTTGTCCCATCAATGCCTCTTGGTTACTACAAGATTTCTAATGGTTCCCACATCTACATAGTGCCGCAATGGACACAGAAAGTTGTTCCAAAGCCAGTTAAATTCTCACCGGCGCAGGTTGATGATATAAAGCGTGAGGCTGAACGTATAAAGGATATGATGTACTCCAAGATAGACTCAACACCAAAATACTTCTCAAAGATTGTCAAAAGATTCAATGGTATAAAGAGAGAAGAAAATTTAAATGTTGAGCAGCAAACATTATCGATCCCATCGAAGCTTGTCTCTCCATCAAGCACAGCATTACCAAAGTTCTGGTAAGCATCCCAAATGGTTATATTTCTTCGGATGAAAGCGTGGAAATTTTTATTAGAAAAATTACTCGCCTAATCCATTTATAGAGTGTTATATTATTTGTTGTTGTTTTGTAAATGATATTTGATGTTATTCATGCATTTAAATTATTCACATATTTCATCGTTCTTCAAATCATAGAAGAGAACATGTGCTAATGGTACAATTTATCATTATATGTCCTATTAAATACAGTTCATCATATTAAAGTAGCAATTAATTGTGAAGATCAAAAAAATCAAATTAACATTAACAACTAATCTTTCACCCAACATTGACCATTTGCGTAATAATTTAATGATACATCTTAGTTCTGTAATGACCATTTGCGATCGAAAATTTTCTAAATTTTTCACTCTAAGTGACCATCGAGGTGATATATGCTATATTCATAATCCACCGAAGTTGAGAGTCTGTTCCCCACACAAGGCATCCAACTCAACTGATTTTGCCAAAATGCTTAATTATCTATTATTAACTTTTTTTAATTTCACTATCTCAGTCCTTCTACATATACCAAAAATAAAATTCTTGTTTTAAAAGCAATTAATAACTTTTTATTACATTTTTACTTTTCCATTTCTAATAAATAAAATTGCCTTTCAATTACAAGTTCTCGGACCTTTCAAAAGGTGAAAATAAAGTATATATAGATAATAATTATGTTTATACATTCGAATATCCCTGCAAAACAACATATGATTGTGCTCATTACGAAGTCAATTTTCCACCAGGAAAATATCTTCTTGAAGTTTGGGGAGCACAAGGAGGAGTATATTTGTCTGAAGTTAGTGGCCCAGGAGGTTATTCAAAAGGTATTCTTACACTGAAAAGTGAAACAAAAGGATTTCTATATATCGGCGGAAAAGGAACTGCTGAAAAAACGGTTGGCATACAAAAGGGCGGATTCAATGGTGGTGGAAATGGATATTTTTATGGATCAGATTCGTATGGTGCTGGTGGAGGCGGTGCAAGTGATATTCGTCTCGTAAATAACTCATTAAAAACTCGTATAATAGTTGCGGGTGGTGGAGGGGGGTCATCATATGCATATAATAGCTACAGTGAAGATTTAAAAATGTATCATATTCTAGGCGGGGCTGGAGGTGGTTATCAAGGAGGTGATGGAGCATTTAATACTAAATATAAAAGCGGCGCGGCATATGGAGCAACGCAATCAGGTCCTAGTGTCACACTAAGTTATAGTTCTAGTTCAAAAGCTGAATTTGGAAATGGAGGATCGTATACCTGCACTTCATGCAAATATTATGCCGCTGGAGGTGGAGGAGGTTGGTTTGGAGGTGCTGCTGCTGGAGGCTATGGATATAGTGGTGCAGGAGGTTCAGGATATGTTCTGACATCGACTTCTTTCAAACCAAAGGATTATATTTACAAGAGAGAACATTTTTTGATGAAAGCATCAATGAAGAGTGGAATCCAATACGGAAATGGTGTTATCAGAATCACGTTGTTGGATTTTGTTGAAAACGAAAACATTAAAATTCATGGATGCGGTCTTTCTGGTTTTAGTTTCTCACAACTTGTTTCATTTATAACTCTACCTTCAGTCGAATAACATCCCTTATTCTTTTTTCCATCATGTAAACCTCGATGTCACTTTTGCAGCCGAGCGGAGCGAGGCCGCAAAAGTGACATCGAGGTTTACATGGATGGGTTCTATATATATACAGCTTGACCGGTAGAAAAGCGGATCGATTTTTATCAATAATTGGACATTCTATTTTTAATAAAATAAACATATATTTATATGGGAAATTAGGGAGATCTGAAACTCAAAAATTATTTTTGAATTTTAATATGATGAATGTAATTGTGATAATATGTACATTACAAATAAAATATTAATTCGGAACAACGATGAGATGTGATAAATTTGATTCTCTCAAAAATCGATTTTGGAGTTTTAATATTAATTTGTATCTTATATGCATATAGGATATATAATAATTTTAAAACATCAAAAAGTGACAACTTGCGGTTAGAAAAAGTCATCAAAACACTTTTTAATGATTTGATTTAACATATGCATAGACCATCTCTTTGATATTTAACTTCAATTTCCCGAAATGAAAAGGATTTGAACAAAAACGATTATTTTACGATCGTTTTTTGTAAATTTTTTTAAATTGAGACTGACATCTCTAAAATCTTCTAAAAAATCCAAATATCAAATAAAATAATATCATTAAAATTCCTCTCAATTTAAAAAATTTTTATAAATTGAGACTTCAATCTCTAAAATCTTCTAAAAAATCCATATATCACAAAAAATCACGATATTATTTTTATTCTCAATTTCAAAATTTTTTTTTTGTACTGACTTTCTTTTTCCATAACAGCATGGCAGAAATTTGAAACGAAGTTTCAAATTTCTCAAGCTTGCATTCTGGGCACGTAAGTGCCCAGAATGCTAAAAGGCGCGTAGCGCCGTCTCTGAATATCAAATTTATTATAATTATTAATTTATGAAATTTCAAATAAAATCGATCTGTTATAACACACTGGTGCATGACAGCCTTGTCATTAATTTATGTATAAGAAATAAATACTGAGGCAATAGTAAAATGCTAAATATACTATATGCAAGATAAATGAAATTCTACTAATTTTAGTGAATTTATTGGTGATTTTTTTTAATGAGATGCAAAATTTTTTATGAATATTGATCGTTCAAACTAAATTAAAATGATATTCTGCTTTGAATAAAGGAACACATAACAATGAATAGCATAAAGTGAAGGCAAATCAAATTTATAATATTGAATGAAAAAATTTTTGTTGAGAAAATTTTCAACTGAAATGATCGCGTAAATTCAATGAAGGGAAATACGAGTAGTGTGAAGATAATAATCAAAATGTGCTTTTGATAAGTATCAAAGAAATAAATTTTTCAAAAATATACATTTTATTTAAAACAACAAATAAGTGGAAAATTTTATTTCATAGAATCTGATTTGAATGATATTCAATTTTGATCGACCATCATTATGAAAGTCGGTAGTTCATCTGCTATCACCAAATATAAATATATAATCATATCGTTGTAGAGTATTTTTTATGATCGTCTCTCAAATTTTTCAGATAATTACTCATTTCTACAAAATGGGATGCGCAGAGTCTATGAGCGATACTCCAATAAAGCCATCTGCTGATATTCGAAAGGGTGTTCAGAACCATTATAGCTCTGACACTTATAGAATTAAAGATGCAACAGGAATTAAGCTAAATTTCGAATCTGGCAAAATTGGCGGAAGGGCTTTTGAAGCTATCAACCTCTCTAGCTGTGCTGTTTATATAAGTGATATAGTAGATAGAATAACGATAACCAATTGCACTCACTGCACCTTTGCCTTGGCAACAATTCGGAATACAATTCAAGTCATCGACTGCGATGACTGCCAATTTACAGCTGTATGCAGACAGTTTAGAATAAGGGACTCTAAAAACTGTGATGTGTTCCTCCACACAAAGCAGAAAAGCATTATCGAAAAGTCAACATCAATTACATTTGGCTGCGGAAACTATTCTTACAGAAATATTATTGAGCAAATGGAAATGGTTCACCTTGATCCTTATATTAATATGTTCCATCAAGTCAGTGATATCACTCCAGGATTATCCAAATACCAAGTTAAGGAAGGCGAGAAATCATCAATTCCATCATTAGATGGATCATGTTTACTTCCGTTCTTCTACCCACCAACAGATAATTTTGATTCTGTTGATTTTAACGAAGGAGATTGGGAAAAATTAACGCGAAATTCCTTAGAAGATGGAATTCAACTGTACAACATCCGCAAATCCGGCAGAATTATTACTGCCAGATATCGAGAAAATGCCAAGCCACAGAGTAGTACAATTTCTGCACAATCTTAATTTTTTATTTGTTTTGATCTAAACTGTTTGTTATTCTTTTCCGGTGATATATTTTCATATTATTTTTTATAACAGTTTCTAGATATCAAATATTTTTCTATTTTCGCGTTGGGAAATCATTTAACTAGTATCATGCTATTGATTTTATAAGGAGATCAAGTTAAATAGCCTATTTGTCAAAAAGATTTCTGACAATGGCAGATTGTGACCATTCGGAAGTAATATGATTTACGTAGCTTATGGATTATATAGAAAACAATTTTTAAATTTAGAATTGAAATTTATTGATCAAAACAAAGATCTAATCAAAACGGATAGCGAAACATTAATAGAATACACAAGTGCAATGTCGTTCAATCGTTAAAAATATTCAATTTCGAGTAATTGCTTTGAAGTTTTACTGAATTCATCATGTTTGGGCATTTTTCTTTTACGATTTGTTATCAAATTATTTTTGAATGTCATTTATGCCATTTCCACGAAATTTTCTTTCCCAATATCGAAATAACGTGTTTTGAAAATTCAGATGATAGACGGGAGATTAGGGCGTGCAACATCCCGTCTTTTAACGAACGAACAAAATATTTTAAAGGAAAAAGAGCTTGCCAAGAAGCTTGGCAAAATTCCACCTGAAGAAAGTGTGAAAATTCCTCAAATTGGCGAATGGAGTCTTTCACTTAGCAAAACTGCTACAACTTCAACAAAACAATTACCATCTCCACCTATAAAATCACCAAAACAATCAAAATCAAAAACAGGCGAGCAATTTATCGGTCCAGTTTATCAACCACGAATTCATGTTCCTAAATCTAGGAATGCTGCTGGCCAAATCAATCCTATCGAGCGCGTCAGTTTCCCAGCAGGAACAACTACAACAGATTTAAATGATATTCTGAAATCAAGAACAATTAATCCAATTAAACCAATTCCTCCGCTCAATCAGGAAGAAAATCTACAAGAACCACAGTTCGTACCATCCGATATTTTCGATGATTCTACATATGAAGAATTCCCTTTGGAAGAATTAATGAAAAATCCAATCGGCTTTTCGAGATATCAGGACTTAGATGGTCACATTTACTGGTCGAAATGCAAAGTAATCGAGTACAACCAAGAGAAACACTTGTTCTTGATCGAATGGACCTCAACTGGAAGAAGAAAATACGTTTCAAGGTTCAATTTGCGTTTTGAGCGCGAAAACCAGGATCTTTTCAACAAAAGAGTGGCTGCAGCTAAAAGAGGAGCTGCTTTATACGAGGCTTCTGTGAGATATCAAGTTAGAATCGATACAATGCCAAGAACGAACCTTCCTGAGCTTTCTCCAGAGAACATCCAGTCAATATATGATAAAATCAATCTACCAAACGACTTCAAACGCGGTGAAGAAATAAAACAAAGATTAATTAAAGAAATCTGCGAAGAATTCAAGACAGTGAACAACGAACTTGAATTCGAACACGAGCTGGAGTTCAACCAGCTTATCCCCAATCGTGAAGAGTTCTTTGCTGTTCTAAGTCAAAAACCGAAACCTCCGAAAATGGAATTGATCTTTAACAATCATACTGAGTACAAAGAGAACCAGAAGAGGCTGAACGAGTTCCTTTTATTCGCTTATCCTGTTTTTCAGCGCGCAATTTACCAAATTTGGGCAATTTTCGACCATTCTTCGAATTACAGACTTCTCACAAAAGGTTTCGATATTAACATTACAGGAATATATCTCCAAGCAATATACAAATCTTTCATCAGTTTCTTCAAATCTCAAAACATCTATCCAAAATACGTTAGAAAATGCAGTTTCTACAACATTTGGTGAGAAATTAACACCAAAGGAACGTGCGATGTCCGACCAATTGGCTACTTTGGCCACAAGAATGCTTCATACAGTTTTATACATTATTATCAACGAATCAATGAACGAATTCATGGGATCATTCGAGAAATACCAAACAGATAAAAACGCCGAACCACAAATTACTGTCAAACTTGCATTTTCTGAAGATAAATTAATAACTGTCGATCCAACATTGGATGTATCGAGAGAACAGATACTAGGATTGACTTCCCAGCTCGAGTCATCAGCCCAGGACATGCTGAGAATCAAATCTTCATTGTTTGAGGTAGATACGACATCTGTCTCATTCCAGGACATAAACGAACTTATTCAAAACAGAATTGAGCCATTTACAAATATTATTGACTCGTTATTTTCACAAACCAAGCGTTTTATTACAGACCATGAGTTTTTAGCTCCTGTATTAGGTCTAGATCCAAACGAGTACGCCATATCGTTCGATCCAAGTGGTAAGAAGACCCTTGACGAGTACAGACATCAACTTGGAGAGTTTACAAAAGTATTAAATTCAATTCAAGAAATGCAAGAGTTCTACAACATCAATTTCTTCAAGATCATGTGTACGGACTTCAAACAGAACTCAATTGTCCATTGCCAGAACCTCATTTACAACTTTTTGAGCCACATAAACAAATTCGTCCTTAAAGACTTGGATTCATTGAACAACGACTTCAATGAGATCACCGTTGAACTCAAGAAGATCCCAGAGACCCAGAAAGCTTAGCAGAAATGAAGAAATACATGGTCAAAATTTATGATACGGTACAGAACCGTACAGACCTTATTAATACGATTAATAACAGGTTTACATTCCTTGAAGAGTTCCAATTCGACATTTCCAACGAAGAAATCGAGTATTGGTACAAAATCCGACAAATGCCAGTCAAAATTTCGACTTTACTCGATGAAACAGAGCGAATCCTGTCTATTGAACGTATCAAGATGATCAGAGAGCTCAAGGTTAACCAGAAGAAGCTAGAAGACGAAGCATTCGATCTTTCGGAGAAAGTTATGATGTTTGCACAGAAATACAACGATTTAGAGATGACTGTTGAAGCTGTTGACCAAGTAAACGAGATGCAGAAGTGTATGGAAGAGATGCAGGCCGAACAGGACACTTACAACAGGCATGAAAAGTTGTTTAGTTTCGAACAAGGATCAAACAAAGTTTTGGTTAAGTTACAAAGCGAATTTACACCATTACATACTTTGTGGAACTTAGCCAACGACTGGCAAACAACACGCGCACTGTGGTTGGACACTTCTTTCACACAGATAAAGCCAGAGCCAATGAACCAATTCATTATTCAAGCGACCAAAAAATTGAATAAATTGAAAAAAGAATTGGCCGACCAACATTTCTTAGTTGACAGGGTATTGAATCCTTTGAGTCAACAAATTGATGAATTCAAGAAACACGTACCATTAATTATGAAATTACGACATCCTGGCATCAAAACAAAACATTGGGAAGAAATTTCGAAAGTTGTTGGTTTCAATGCAGCTCCTGACTTAGAATTAACACTCCAGGGATTCTTGGATTTGCATTTCGAACAGTGGATGGAACAAGTAACACAAATAGCAAATGTTGCTGCGCAAGAATACACTCTGGAAACATCTTTGGATCAAATGGATGCTGATTTACAAACAAAGAAATTTGTTACTTCTGAATTCAGAAATTCCGGTCAATTTATTCTCAATGAAATTGATGATATCACTTCTACTATTGATGACCAATTAGTCACAACGCAAACTATCCTTGCATCTCCTTTCATTGAGCCTGTAAAGAAGAGAGCACAGGAAAGACTCAGTTTTCTTCATTTGTCAGAAAAAATCATTATGAAATGGATTTCTTGTCAAAAGAACTGGTTGTATTTACAGCCAATTTTCACAGGAACATCCATACAACAGAAGCTGGCAAAAGAAGCAAGAGATTGGAAAGTTGTCGAGCAGATATGGTCATCAGCGATGAACGCAACACATAATCATCCTGAATTCCAAACAGTTATGACAAGGGATGGATTATTCGACCAATTAAATCAATGCAACAATTTATTGGACCAAATCAATATCGGATTGAACAAATACTTGGAAGCAAAGAGAATGGGATTCCCCAGATTCTTCTTCTTGAGTAATGACGAACTGATAACTATATTAAGTCATTCGAAAGAAATTGGAAAAGTTCAAGAAAGTTTGTCTAAATTGTTTGAATACGTAAATACTGTGACAATGGATGGTGATGACATTGTATCAATGAATGACAGTGAAGGAGAGAAAGTCAAATTGTTTAATCCTGTACAATTCGATACTCCTGAAATAGAAGATTGGCTAAATAACTTTGAAGCAGAAATGAAACATTCTTTGAATCAATATATCGAACAAGCGAATATGGCTATAAAGAAACAATCAAAAGAAGAATGGATAACATCATTCCCTGCACAAGTTATTTTGATAACAAACCAAATAAACTGGACATTACAAGTAACACAAGTTTTGTCCGGCCAAAAACTTCGAGCAATGAAAGTTTTGTTGCAAAAATATTTGGAACAGTTAGAAACATTGACGGGATTAGTGAGAAAACCAATAGATAGATTGACAAGACAGGTTTTGTCTTGTTTGTTGATCTTGGAAGTACATAACCGTGATATCATCAAAGATTTCGTTCATAAAGAAGTTGTTGATATCGAATCATTTAAATGGCTCCAACAATTGAGATATTATTGGGAAGATTCAACAGTAATTGTTCGCTCAATTAACAATGTTTTCGAGTATTCTTATGAATACGCGGGTAATTCAACACGATTAGTCATTACTCCTTTGACTGATAGATGCTACCAAACATTGTTATGCGCGTTCAGAATGAATCTTAGCGGTGCTCCAAGCGGTCCAGCAGGTACAGGAAAAACAGAAACAGTTAGAGATTGCGCGAAAGCACTTGGAAGATCTTGCGTCGTTTACAATTGTTCTGAAGAAGTTACTCCTGAACAAATGTCACAGTTCTTCGCAGGTCTTTCTAGTTCAGGATCGTGGTCTTGCTTCGATGAATTCAACCGTATTAACATCGAAGTTCTTTCTGTTATTGCACAACAAGTCAGAACAATTCAAAATGCAATTGCTGAAAATGCACAAACATTTCAATTGGATAAAAGATCGTTGAAATTGAATCCTAATGCAGCAATTTGCATCACAATGAACCCTGGTTACGCAGGAAGAACTGAGCTACCAGATAACTTGAAAGCATTGTTCAGACCATGCGCAATGATGGTCCCTGATTTCATTTTCATTTCAGAAATTTTGCTTTTCTCCGGCGGTTTTACAACCGCTTCTTCATTGGCTGTCAAATTAGTTGCATTGTTTGATTTGTGCAGGAAACAGTTATCAAACAGCCACCACTACGATTGGGGCTTGAGAGCCATGAAAGCCATTCTTTCAACAGCAGGAAAAGCAAAGAGAAATGACTTGGAAGCAAACGAATCATTACTTTTAGTCAGAACAATAAGAGATTGCACACTTCCGAAATTGATTTCTGATGATATTCCTTTATTCAATGGCATATTAAGTGATGTATTCCCGAATGTTGAATACAACAAACCATCGAATGATGACTTCTTGAATTCCTTGAAGGAGTCAATCAAACAAATCCAAGAACAGCCATTGGATATAACTATCGCAAAAGCTACTGAGTTATACGAAACAACATTGGTCAGACACGGAATTATGTTGGTCGGTGGCGCGATGGGCGGAAAATCAACAGCATGGAAATCTCTTTCTTTAGCTTTGACTGATCTTTCAAAGACAAACAACAGTTTGTACAAGCCAATACAAGTGGAATCCCTCAATCCAAAGGCAATCTCTATTGCAGAACTCTACGGTTCCTTCAATCCTGTAACAAGTGAATGGGCTGACGGCGTTTTGTCAAAAATCATCAGAGAAATGTCATTTTCTGAACAAACCGTTGGCAAATGGATTATCGTTGATGGTCCTGTCGATTCCTTGTGGATTGAGTCAATGAACTCATTGTTGGATGATAACAAAGTCCTTTGCCTTCCGAATAACGAGCGTATCCAGTTATCTCCACATGTCAAAATGATGTTCGAAGTTGACAATTTGGATGAAGCATCTCCTGCAACTGTTTCTCGTTGCGGAATGGTCTATTTCGATCCAAGTGTTTTGAGTTGGACAGCATTGGCTGATTCATGGAGAGACTCACTACTCGAAAAACAAGCAACAGTTGCTAATTACGTGAGAGAACTCATGAATTCATGGTTACCAAATTGTCTACAATTCATTACAAATGATGCAAAAACTTCTTTGACGATTAATCCTAATTTTGCTGTGAAAAACTTGTTGAGATTATTGAATTCTTTTGTTGATGTTTTGAGGAAACCAATAGAGAACCAAGTAGAAGGAGAAGAGACAGTTGTTAGCGATCCATTAGATAAAACAAAATACTTCTCTGTCTTCTCACAAGCGAATGATTCTATTCCTTATTTCGAATCAGAACAATCAACATTAGTTTTTGAGAGAATTTTCATTTTCTGTTTGATATGGAGCTTCGGAGGTCCATTAGTTGATGACTCCCGTGTTTTATTCGATAAGTTCATTAGAGATCTATTGGAAACAACACAGAGTAGAGTCCAATTCCCTCCGAAAGGATTAGTTTTCGATTATTACTGCGATTTAAGTCAATTTACTTGGTTGCCATGGTTGGATGGAACAACAAATGTTGGATTGACAAGTGACTTGCCAATAGAGCAACAATTGATATCAACGAAAGAATCCGCAGTCACAATCTTTTTGTCGAGATTGTTGTGCTCAAATGGATATCATGTTTTGTTGCAAGGCCCAGAAACATCAAAAACATTGTCAGTCAAAACATTGTTTTCAAAAGTTTTGGAGCCAACGAAATATGATTGCCATATCTTCCCATTAGCAAGTTGTTCAACTCCTACAGGTATTTCCAAGTTCCTACAAGCGTATATGCACAAGAGACAAGGAAAACTTGGTCCTCTTCCAAACCAACAATTGATTTATCTTTTAGATAATTTCAATTCAGTGAAACCGGAAGTTTACGGAGCACAACCACCTCTGGAATTAATCAGGCAGTTCATGGATTACAATGGCTGGTACCAGACAAGTCCTGTTGAATTCCAGAGCATCACAGGAACATCATTGATTGCTACAATGGGAGTTCCTGGCGGTGGTTTGTACACTGTTCCTGAACGATTGTTAAGTCATTTCTTCATTTTGCATTGCCCTCCTTACAACCAGATCGAGACATCCCAGATCGTGGAAGGTTTGTTGAGAAGTGCCTTCGCAAGACACTCACAGTCTATCCAGGAAAAACTCAAAGGAATCGCTTTGGCGATGGTCGGAATTTACCAAGAATGTCAAAAATCACTTTTGGCAATTCCATCGAAACTCCATTATATTTTCAACATGAGAAACATATTGCATGTCATCAGAGGCATGTTGTTAATAAAGCCAGAGAATATTCCAACAGAACTTCAGTTCTTAAGGCTTTGGCAACATGAAATGATGAGAGAATTCCATGATAGATTCAACACGAATCAAGACAGAAAATGGTTAATAACAGCTCTAAAACAACAAATAGAACAAGGAATGAACGGAAAGATCGATAAAGAACCAATGTTCTGTTCATTCTCTGATTCCTCCAAACTCTACAAAGAAGTAACAATAACTCAAGACCAATTAATACAACAATGTAACAATCTTTTGGAAGAACACAACAGAGAAGTACAAAAGCAATTAGACATTGTTTTGTTCCCTGAAGCTATTGGTCATTTGGCTTCTTTGTCAAGAGCTTTCTCTCTAGAAAGAGGCCATGTTATGCTTGTTGGCGTCAAATCAAGTGGTCGTAAATCACTTGCACATTTAGCTTTGTACGCTTGCAACATGGAACCATTCGAAATCTCAATAACAAGGACATTTAACTTCGAAGAATGGAGAGAAAACTTGAAGACATTGATGCACAAATGCGGTGCTGAAGATGAACCAACAGGTTTCATTATAAATGATGTTCAAATAGTAATGGAACAACAATTGGAAGATATCTCAAATATCTTGATTTCCTCTGAAGTTCCTCAACTTTACGATAGAGATGAAATGGAACAAATCAAAGGTGAAATCAACAAAGATGACAATGGTGATTCGAACATTGCTCCTTGGGATAAATTCATGCAAAGAATCAAGAAGAATTTGCATATTATTCTCGTTTTCTCACCATACGGACAAACATTTAAAGATGTAATGTTGTCATTTACGTCTATAAGAAATGAAGTAATCATTGATTGGTACATGCCATGGCTACATGAATCACTTGTGAGTATAGGAATGACTGCATTGCAGAAAGCGAATATTCCAAGTAATATCATTGATTCTGTCATTTCTATAATGGTTAATATCCATAAATCAGCTGATGATTTCGCTTCCAAATTCATCAAAGAGACAAAGAGATACAACGCCGTTACACCTTCAAGGTTCTTTGAGTTGTTGCAAACATTCACAAACAGATTGTTAAGTTCTCAAGATTCAAACTCACAGAACTTGAAGAATTACACACAAGGTATCGAGAAAATCAAGTCAACACAAGCACAAATAGCAACAATGAGAGAACAACTTGATAGAGATATCCCTATTCTCAGGAAAACAGAGAAAGAAGTCATAGAAATGTTGAAAGAATTAAGTGTAAAAAGTGCGGAATGCGAAGCAACACAAAAAGAAGTCAAAGAACAAAGTGACATTGCAGAGAAAGAAGCAGCACAAGCATCAGAAGCAAATAGAGTTGCTCAAGAACAATTCGCTAAAGTAGAGCCAATTTTAGAAGAAGCAAAAGTTGCTGTTTCTAAATTAGATAAAGATTCATTAGTAAATATCAAGAAATTGCATAATCCAAGTGCAGGCATGAAAGATACTTTTGATGCAGTTTGTATCATGTTTGAGCGCCAGCCAAGGAAAGTTGATGGACCAACACCAGGAACGAAAGAAGAAGATTACTGGCCAGAAGCTGTTTCGTTGCTAAATGACATAAAATTCATCAATAACATCACGAATTTCAAAATTGAATTGATGAAACCTGCAACGATAAATAAACTTAAGAAATATGTTCCAACAGATCCACAAGCGAGAGAAGAGAAGAAAAAAGCCGCACAGCAGTCTTTTGCAGCTGTTGGCGCTTTCTACGATTGGGTTTGCGCTTCTTTCGATTACTGGAACGTTTACCAAGAAATTTTGCCACTTAAAAATGCAGCTGATGAAGCTCTGAAGAAATTGGAAGCATCTCAAACAATTCTTGCAAAAGCTAAAGCACATTTAGCACAAGTAGAACAAACTCTCAAAGATTTACAAGACAAAGTCGATGCAATGAAGAAGAGAGAACAAGATCTCAAAGATAACGTTGCAAAAACAACAGCAAGACTTGATAGAGCGAATAAAATCATGTCTGGATTATCAGGAGAAACAGACAGATGGTCTGAAGTTACTCAGAACCTTTCCAACTCTTCCAAGTTCATTATGGGTGATTCCATTTTGATTTCAGGTGTTTTGACTTATTTAGGTGTTTATTCACCAACATTTAGGTCAAAAATACTCCAAACATGGCAGGGATTCCTCAAAGAAAAAGACATCAATTTCACAAACAACTTCTCTATTATTAACGCATTAGGAAATGATGCGACAATTAGAGATTGGATCACAAAAGGTTTGTCAAATGATTCTTTTTCAATAGAAAATGCATTGATCATTACACAGTCACCAGAAAGTTATCCATTGTTAATTGATCCACAGTTAAATGGTACTTCATGGCTAAGAGCAATTGATGAGAAATTAGTTGCTTTGAGATTTGATCAAACAGACTTTTTGCAAAGACTGAAAAGTTGCATCCAAATTGGTATCCCTGTCATCATTGAAAATGTTGGTCTGAAAATGGATCCATTGATTGATCCAATCCTGTCTAAAGAGATATTAAATGTTGATGGAGCTAAAACAATCTCATTAGGTGGAGAAGTTGTCAATTACAATGATAATTTCAGATTGTATTTGTCAACGAAATATCCAAATCCACAATATTCTCCAGCCATTTGTTCTCAAGTTACTTTGATTAACTTCACAACAACAGAAGAAGGATTGACAGACTTGTTGTTGAACAACTTAATCGAAGTAGAAAGACACGATTTAGACGAAAAGAGACTTGAAATCATGGAAGCAAGTGCAGCAAATATAAAGAAACTGAAAGATATCGAAAAAGAAATCTTAAACATTGTTTCTAATGCAGGAAGTGACATTTTGGATGATGACAAAGCCATCAAAACACTTCAGAATGCACATGAAACAAGCCAGAACATTGCACAACAAATGGCTGCAAGTGAATCAACTCAGAAACAGATACAAGAGTTCCGAAATCAATTCAGTATCGTTGCATCAAGAGCAGCATTACTTTATTTCTGTGTTTCTGACTTCTCCGTCATTGATTCCATGTACCAGTTCTCTTTGAAATGGTTCACTTCATTGTTTAGAACAGCTATTTCCAATGCTGAACATTTCAGTAATGTTGAAGACACAATTAAATCATTCAATAACACAATCGCGAAGAATTTCTATGAATCAGTTTCTTATTCATTGTTTTCAAGACACAAATTGTTGTTTTCTACTTTGATGTGCATAAGAATACTGTATTCCGAGAAGAAGATATCTGGTTCAGAACTCGCTTTCTTGTTATCCCCAACAGTTGAACCCGTACAATCCCCAGTTATGTTCATAAACGATGAATCATGGAGACAAGCTCTGGCTTTAGAAAAAATTTCATCTGATTTTGGCGGTTTGACAAAACATATACAAGAAAACCAAGATAAATGGAGAGAATACATGGAGAACCAGCAGGCAGAGCTTGCACACATTCCGTTCAATGAAAACGACAAATTGAGTTCGTTCCAGAGATTCCTTTTGTTGAGAATTTTCCATTTGGAAAGAGTCAGAGAAGGATTACATATTTTCATCGAAGAAAATCTCGGAAAAGAGTTCGTAACTCCTCCAACACTTAATTTAATGAAAGTATTCAAGGAGTCAAACACAACAACACCTTTGATATTCATCATCATGCCTGGTATCGATCCACAAGATGAAATCCTTGGTGTCGCTGCAAGTATGGAACTGGAGAAATATGTCAAACCATACTCCCTCGGCCGTGGAAGAGGACAAGGAGCAGAAGAGCTGATAAGAGAGGCCGCAGACTCTGGTTTCATTGTTTTGTTACAGAACTGCCATTTGAGTTTGAGTTGGATGCCAAAACTCGAACACATTTTGAACGAATTATCAATGGAACCAGACAAAATCAACCCGAGATTTAGAGTTTGCTTGGTCACAATGTCTGACCCGAATTTCCCAATCGGTATTTTATATCAAGGAACTAAACTCATCTACGAAATTCCTCGTGGCATTCGCGAGAATATCATGAGAATCTACTCCGGATTCAACGCAGATGAATACGACCAGGATTCATCTGAAATCGAGAAACAGTTGACTTTCTCTTTGGCTTTCTTCCACTCCGTTGTTCTTGAAAGACTCCAATTCGGGTCAATGGGATGGAACATTCCTTACGAGTTTAACCCATCAGATTTCGCAATTTCCAGGAAACAATTGCACACGTTTTTGACTGAAAACGGAAACAATCCAAACGACATTCCATTCGAAGCATTGAGTTACGTCATTGGCGAACTTAACTACGGTGGAAGAGTCACTGATTCATGGGACAGACGTCTTCTTTTGTCTGTTTTACAGAGATACTTCAGCGAAGAATCGAATTCACAAGGAGTTTCATTTGGAAAACGTTACAACCCTCCAAGCTCATTCGATCTTTCCCTCCACGATGTAATTAACACATTGGAATCATGGCCAACAGTTACACAGAGTGGAGATGTCGGATTGTCCGCAAATGCATCGACAATTGTAGCAAGAAACGAAGCAATGAACATTTTCAATAAATTAATTGAAGTCCAGCCAACATTAGTTTCTTCATCGGAATCCGTCAGTGAAGAACAGTTTGCTCTGTCATTAGTTTCTTCTTTGCAGCAGATATTGCCAAGACCTTTCAATATCTACAACTTCAAGAAGAAATTCACACAAAAAGACACAATAACAACTGTTTTGTATCACGAAATCATTTTGTACAATGATTTGATTGAGACAATTTCTGAGTCATTGAAGAGGATGGAGATGGGCTTGAAAGGTTTGATATTGATTGATCAGAAGCTTGAGATCTTAAAGAGAAGATTACTTGGAAACAGAGTCCCAGAAACATGGCTTCAAAAGAGTTTCCCAAGTATTTTGACATTGAGAAATTACATGGATGATTTGAGACAAAGAGTTGATTTCTTGGACAATTGGATGAGAATGGGAACACCTGTTGTATACAGATTAGGTGCTTTCTTCCATCCTGAAGAGTTCTTAACAGTTGTTCTCCAGGTTTACGCAAGAACTAAAGTTGTTCCATTCGATACTTTGTCGTGGAAGACAACTCCTATTTCTACAATAATTAATGAGTCTCCAAAAGAAGGAATTTACATCGAAGGACTGCCATTGGAAGGCGCCAAGTGGGATAATGTACAAGGAACACTTGTTGAGTGCTCGCAGATGGAGTTGGACAGTCGTTTGCCTGTTTTCCATCTTGTTCCAACTGAACAAAATAATCTTTACGACAAAACTAAGTTTTATGAATGTCCTGTCTTCAGAACTCAAAACAGAGGTACAGGAGCATTGGATCTTCCTAACTATATATTAAGTTTGCACTTGCCTTCTTCGAAGATATCGCCAGATCACTGGATACAAAGATCTGTTGCAGCATTTATTACAGTTCAATAATTTTTGTTTTTATAGATAAAATTTATTTTTGTTTATTTTTTAATTTTGATCTTTATTTATTTATATACTTTGAAACACGAAGATTTTTATTTAGCTTTTTGACTCAAATCATACATGGTTCCAATCAAAAATTTTAGCTTTTATCTCATGGAAAATTGGAGTATAAAGCATGGGTGTCGATAAAATAGAGATTTATATAAATTATGAAATTTCAATGAGTCTCATCAAAAATTGAATAACATTCAATTTAAAAGGGGTTAAAAATTGAAAATTTAGAACATACTTTATCATATGATGGGGAAATAATTGAATTCTCCATTTATTATTCTATCGGTGCACGGCGCATCATTGCACCAATATAAGCTTTTTTACAAGTAAATATTAATTAAATTTTCTTAGACTCAAGCTGATAATCAAATTGTAAATTGAAATTAATGGAATTTTTATTTTTCCAAAAAATTTGAATCGGACATCGACGCCAATGAAAACGTTCAACTTTTATTCTAGACAAGCATTTCAGAATCTTCAAGCAGATACATCAGAAGAATACACAATCAAGTTAAATGTCGGTCAAAGAAATCTTGAAGTTTCAGCAAAATTACTTCGTTCTTACAGTAGGAACGTTAAAAATGACTATAAAGAGGGAAAAAAGGAGAGAGAATATAATGTTAATGTAACAATAAGCGACAAAGCTTTTCAAATCTTACAGACATTATTAATTAAATTAGACTGTCATATTGAGATTATAGAAGATACTCTGTTAGATTTGTACAAAGTAGGTAAATGTCTTGGTATAGATGACTTCATTGAATGGTATAACCATGCATTACAATATAGAACTATTACTCTTGAAAACATTGATGAATTTATTGAATTTGTAAAAATTTCCAGATCAAACAATTCTGGCATGTATCAGTCCATAATTAACTTTATTGCTGAAAACATTTTAGATATCAGTATCGAAGATTTGAAGCGTAAATGCACAATTTGTGATATGAAGCTATCAGATAACATGGATTTCATTCAAAAAATCATAGCAAAATGTGCTCAACTTGGTCATTTTCAAGATGATGCCTATATTGATCACCTCTATGGATTTCTTCTGGAACTATTCAAAGAATCGGCTATTTTTGGTTGTTTCTTCAATAAATTTGATTACAATAAAATTAAAGCAAATCAAATGAATCAATTGTTGGATTTAGTTGGAAATAAAGAATATAAAGATTATCACAGCAAAATATTGGAAATGCAAAAGAAAAGGAATCTCTTGACTGATGAAAATCCAAAAGAATTACTTAAATCTAACATAGCATTTGAAAAATCAATTGAAATCCTCAGCAATGTGATTTTACAAAAGAATAATAAAGAAGATTCTTATCCACTTTATTTGAAAGCATATGGTCTTAAAGATGATTTCAATAGCTTATATAAATTCCTCAAAATAATGTCAATGATTAAAAATTTTTCACCAATTCGAGTTGCATGTGCAATTGGCATATCAGAGAAAACTGATAAAAATGGAAATACAATACTTTTAGTCGCATGTATTAACAATGATATTGAGCTTGCCAAAATATTGATTGAAAATAAATGCAATATGTATGCAGAAAACTCAAGTCATAACAATGCTGTATTATGTGCTGCCATATACGGAAGCATAGATGTCTATCAATTTCTTGAAAGCAATGGATTTGATATTACTCCAGTATTGCTAAAATCTTCCTTTTTCAAAGCTTGTAGAAGTGGGCAGCTCGGAATGATTAAATATCTTAAAGAAAATAAAGGTTTTAATATAGAAAAGGACGGAGAAAACTGCATTGCATTAGCAGTCATATCAGGAAAATTGGAAGTTATAAAGTATTTAATCTCAAACAATGCAAATCCCTCATTTTCATTATGAAATGATGTATTAGCATTATTGAGAGCTGCGAGTCTCGGATATCTTCAAATATTCAAGTTATTACTTCGATATTGTGGAATCAATAATAAAGATGCTAATGGAAATGACTCACTCATATATGCAATATGTAGTCGAATGTTTAATATTATTCAGTACATAAAAGATAAAAATTTGATAATTCCAAAAGAACATCACAAACAATTAGCCAAAGAAGCATTGGCTAACTGTAACAAACCCGAAGAAATAGAGATTAAGAATTGGATTGGGGAGCCCAGTATTCCACTAATTAACGAGGACCAACCAATTACTGAGCCTAAACAAAATACTGAGAACAAACATAGTACTGAAAAACATAGTGTTAATTCTCAACAAAGGAAATCACATTAAAATAATTCATTAAAAGAAAATTACAGGAAATTTACTGACGCAAAAAGTGATAAAAAATGATCTAATTTTTTTGTATGTGGGTTGAATATTTAAGTTTGTCGCATCAGCAATTTTCCGAGAGGAAAAAGAAAATCCAAATTCTTCAAAAGTAATTTAGCAATATTACTCTGCAATCCATTGGATATGTTGACGACGCAACAAGCTTAGAGTATCGAATAACAAAAGTTAAATATACTATTGTTAATTAGTCTTTCTTTTCTTGTTCAGATTTAGTTGTTTTCTTTCTAGATGAGTGATGTTTCTTTGGTTTCTCTACTGCTTCTTTGTTTGTTTCTGTTTCTGTTTCTTTTGGTTTTTCTTCTGAGTTTTCTGCTTTTTTCTTTCTAACAACTTTTTTCTTCTTTGGTTTATCTTCTGCTGGCTTTGATTCGCCTTCTTGTTTTAATGGTTCCTCTGTTTTATGATTTATTTTTTCTTCATTTTGATTATCTTCCATTTTCTCTTCCTTTTTTGTTGATCCTGATTTCTTTTTAACAACTTTCTTGGTTCTTGTCTTTCTTTCTGATTTTGGCTTCTCTTCTTTTTGTTCATCTTTCGATTTCTCTTTTTCTGGTGTTTCTTCGGCAGGAGAAACTTTCTTGTTAGCTAAAAGACTAGAAAAGCTATCAAATTGCTCATTTCCAGCTTGAAGTTTACGACATTCAGAAACTTCAAGACAATATGAATTTACATGTTCTCCAAAATGATTTAAAACAAAGGCAACACCATATCTGATCCAATCTGCAGATCTATATCCGTTATGTCCTCCTGTTAACTCCATGAAATCTTTATCTTTGTTATTATGGTTATCAAAAAGTGTTTTTCCATGAGAAAATGGGATAAAGTTATCAGATGTTGCATGCCCATATGCAGCAGGAGCTGGATTCTGTTTCACAGCTTCAAGACAATTAATTTTATCAATACTAAAATCGTTACCAAATGATGCTTGTGCGAAAAGCTTCACAGATCCAACAAGGACAGATTTAGGTATATGTTTTTGCGCGGCCAAATCTCCAAATAATTCATCAGCAGAAGAAAACGCGGAATCAATAACCATTGACTTAATAGCATCGCTTTTTGTAAGTAGTGCAGTGGCAGCGCCCATAGATCTTCCCCATAAAGCAAATTCTTTGTAACCAAAATCTTGTTCTAACATTTTAATTACAAATTCCGTATCAATGTGCTCGTAGTATCCTAATGATATCATCTTTCCATCGCTATTACCACATCCAATAAAATCAAAGCAACAAACAGCAATGTGATAAGAACAAAGATTTGGAACGAGAAATTGTCCTTCAAGTTGCGAGCTTGAAACACCATGTAAATAAATCAAACATTTTGTAATTTCTACTTCAATATCCTTGTCAAGTTTATATATTGAACCATGAATCATTTGTTTTCTTGCGTTCATTATTTTAAAAGGAGTTCTTATGTAATTTCCAACAATGTTATCTTCTTCAGTTGTTACTAAAACCTTTGGTAATTCGGCTTCATTATATCTTGTTCGAGGTGGTGAGAAAAATTCATCTATTTTCTGAGCGGTAGCACTAGCAGCTTTACTAATTGCATTTGCAGCAGAAGATAACATTTCATTCAACCCTTTCATAAAAAGAAATGTACGTAAAAAAGTGACAATAGTCGGTGCACGTTACATAAATACAAATGCAGGTCCAACTAATGTTTAAGAATCAATTCCACCAGTTCCAATTCGATGCTGGCGCTACATTAGCGAGCTTGATGTCTGAAATTGCTTCTAAATTAAACGTCCCAGTTGAATCGCAAAAAATTATCTGCAAAGGGAAATCTCTGACGGCACCGATGGAGCCGCTTGTTGATGGAATGAAGCTGCTACTAATGGCTACAAGTGCTCCACCAGTCATGAATACAAATCCGCCCCCGGCCAACACGCGGAAATACTCACTCTTTGTCCCGACAATTATAGATACACTCAAAGAGCCATATCATCAGGAAATTATTAAACTCGGACCACCTGAAGGTTATATTAAACCAAACAAATTCCAGACAACTGTTTTGCCACAGCAACTTATGTATGTTCGTGAAGGTACCGGAAAGCGCTCTATACTTTCGTTCGAATCAGATGCTCTATTTTTGCAAAATGATGATGGGACAGTTGAAAGGATTTTCTTCACAGAAATAGTTAAAACTGCCGTTCTTACAATTCCAGACTCAGATGGTAACTTCGTTGCACTAGGAATGATAACAAAGTCTGGCAACAAATGGATTTATTTCATAGCAAGTCAATATACAAACCTCATTAAGAGCTTGTTTCACTCATAACTTAGATCATATAATTTAATCATGCAAATATTTTTACGAAAATCCAAAACTTTCATATTAAAATTTAGAGAATTCAAACCTTATTTATTAAATTTTTGTTTCACTATATTTTTGCTGTTTTATAGTTGTTATTATACGGAGATTTCATTGAATATAATTAATGAAAAAATATATCTTGAAAATTTAATTTAAAATAATGTACATAAGGAAGTCAATTTGGAAAATTGTTTTCACTTTAGGAGAATATAATTTTCCATTTGGAAAATTTAAAAAGTGAGACGCGCAGGATTCGAACTTTTTTAAAAGTTGATTTAAATGAATTTTAGTGTGGAATATAAGGATAATATCATATTTAAAATAAGAATATACTAGTTTAGGTGGTATTAATTTTTTCGATAAATTTGAGAGTATGTACGTTTAGGGCATGAAAAGTGTCATTTCGCTCAGCGAAAGCTGAGCTAGCTTCGTTCTCGAAAGAATAAGGAAGGAGTGAAGGAGAATGATACAGAAGTTGACACATTCATATCATTTCAACAAATTTTGATCAAATTGAAATTCAATAAAATTCAATTCATATCCTTCAGTCAGTACATTGATATCCTTCTGCATCACAATGATAACTCGGGCATCAATAGTTCTACAACTAACTCAGAAAAAACAAGATTATTACTTCCTGCTTACAGCTTTTAAAAAGTTTCGATGATAAAAATCACTCTACTCTCGTTTATCGACATATGGTGATAGTAGGTAAACATATTCTTATCGATATTAATAAAAATATTTGTACGAAAATCTTATCCAATTAGAGAGTTATTCATAAAGTATATGATAATTATAATTACTTTATCTTTGTTTTATCTTTGAATAAACAATTTAATTTAAATTGCATAATATTTTTTGGTTGAAAGACAGGAAACTTAGTTGAGTTTGTATTATTTTTATCGTTTAATTCATTGTATATGTGAGTGATCCAGATATTTAAGATATTTAGAAAAAAAATTATTAATTTGATTAACAAATTTAATCAAAATAGCAAAAATCTATTTGATAGCTGTAAACAAACAATAATTTTTATTTCAAGCAAAATCACTTATTTTCATCTAAACGTATAAAATTGTCAATTTTATGAAAATAAATTGAAAATCTCATGAAATGTAAAGGAGAGTAATATTTTTCAATTTTCTTTTTTTCTTTGTCTCAAATATTTTCTGTTGGGAATTTTCTTGTTATCAAAAAATAATTTTAATATTTGTTTATTTCATTACATACAATAAAATTTTCAAAACTCTATTTCTTCTCAAGAAAATTTTTTCCTTCATATGAAGAAACATTTTGTTCTCCATTTGATACTGAGTCTAAATCTCGATTTTTGAATTTTCTTCTTTCCAAATTTCTTTTTTCCAAATTAGAAGTTTAATTCAAATTTTCAATAGTTTATATATTTTCTCAAACCGTCTCAGATTTTCTCACTTTTTAGGGATTTTCTCTCAAAATATACAAAAATAGTAATATCAATACATGTGTCTAATATACTTTAAAACCATCGTGACAAAATTCAAAAACGAAGAGTTCTTCTCTCCAAATTTTTTTCAAAATCAAAAAAATGAGATAAAAAAGTACGTTTGGAAAATTCATTTTTAGCATTTTAGGAATTTTCTCACTTTTCTTCCAAATTGACATCCTTAATGTACACCATAGTAATAGATATACAGCTTACGCTCGTGGTCTCAATTGAGGAAATTTAAGTTTCAACATTTGATATATGGGTATAGAAACATAATTTATTGAGGGTTTAACTTTACATATTCTATATGAGTTAAACAAATGAAAAAAAACTTGATTTTTTTGGTTAATAATCTTGAAAATTTTTAAAAGTTGAATCTTCCTTTATAATTAGTTTGGATGACTCAAGCTGGAAAGACCTGGTGATAATTGCATTTTAAATAGCCTTTTCCAATTTAAAACCTTCTGCAAAATTTTACCGATAAATCTGGGAAAAAGAAAATATCTGTGTTTTCAAATGTAAAATGCGTTCGTCGAAAATTTAGGGAGTAGGGGTAATTTTAGCTAAAAGTGACACACCCGTGAAGGGTGTGATTACCGATCGGTAATTTCGACAGTTTAGAATTTAAAATTTTTTATGGAACTGTTGCGAGTTTCATAAAGAATTTAAGGAATATAAGCAAAGATTTGAATCAAAATCTTAGACCTAAGCCGCTCGATTCGCTCGCGGCTTCCGCGAATTACAGATCAGCAAAGATTTGAATCAAAATCTTCGAACTAAGCCGATCGCTTCGCTCGCGGCTTTCTTTATTATTTTAAATTTGCATATTTCCATCAAAAGTTCATAAGGTAAAAAATTTCGTTTATTTTTACTAAGAAAAAAAAGGTTTTTGATAATAAATTTATTTTATTTCGAAAAAGTAGCAATAATCGTAAAAGGGTATTGATAGGCTTGCTAAAGTAACTAATTTTAGCTGTCAAATACTTTTGTATTTTGAAGTAAATTAGTATAAATTTGTTTTTACTTTTATTTCGAAAAAGTAGCAATAATCGTAAAAGGGTATTGATAGGCTTGCTAAAGTAACTAATTTTAGCTGTCAAATACTTTTGTATTTTGAAGTAAATTAGTATAAATTTGTTTTTACTTTTATTTCGAAAAAGTAACAATAATCGTAAAAGGGGATTGATAGGCTTGCTAAAGTAACTAATTTTAGCTGTCAAATACTTTTGTATTTTGAAGTAAATTAGTATAAATTTGTTTTTACTTTTATTTCGAAAAAGTAACAATAATCGTAAAAGGGTATTGATAGGCTTGCTAAAGTAACTAATTTTAGCTGTCAAATACTTTTGTATTTTGAAGTAAATTAGTATAAATTTGATATTATTTTAACTCCCTTTGAAAACCTCAATTTTCCATACAGAGGGAACGGGAATAGCATCCAATATTCCCTGAGAATGGTTGCGCATTCTCAGTTCCCTCTATATTTCGAACGAAGCTCTCATCGGTCTTTTTTTTAATACTAAACGTTTTTTCTCCCTGTCACTTTTAGCTAAAATTTGGGTTTGCCAAATTTAGGTTCATTCATAAAATTGAATTCTTTTTCACCGTTAGGGCCATTCCAATTGCTCTCTCAAATCTTTTCAAAGTCTGATTTTCTTTATTTCAAGTGAGCATGATGCACTCTAATTATTAGTCTCAAACCCTTTCAAGGTTAAAAATTGACTGTGCTCTCAATTCCGTTGCAAATTGAAAGAAATTAACGATATTCTTGCAAAATAAAGTTGTATGATTATCGATTTATATTATAATTATTAAAAATTTGATTTGAAAAGTTTGGTTCTTATTTTATGATTTTGCCATAATTATTAATATAATGAATAAATAAATAAATCTAGTTTTGTTGATATAAAAAGAGTACGTTTTTAAATTTTGTCATGGGGGTTTTATTTCATTTTTATGGCGCTTAACGGAAAGTGCTTGAGGTGGGTAATCATCATTATCAACATCTTAATCGTTATTGCTGCTGTCATAGCATGCGCAGTCGTCTACACACGTATTGGTAAGACAAGCGGAACAACCGAATACTATAAATTGTTCAAAGATTCCACCGCCCTTTATCCATTCTTTGCCATTCTTGCTGTCTGTGCTGCAGTTTGCATTATTGGTGTCTTCCTTATTTGCTGCGAGAACCGCTGCTGGGCAATTTTCTACGTTGTTTGTCTTTTCCTTGTTCTCATTGTCGAAATCATCATTCTCATCTGTATGTTTTTACTCACAAATGTCGTCATGGACTTTGCTGAAACAAAGTGGAACAAGGGTGTTACTGATAAAGGTATGGAGAACGTTACAAGAAATATTGAAATTCTCCTCGAGTGCTGCTCATTCAACCAGCCAACTGTAAGCGAAACAGTTAGATGCCTTGCAGACACATCATCTCCATACAACAAAGAAACAGATGTTGCTAAAGCCAGTACAACAGGCTGCTACGATGCTATCAAGGGCAAAGTTAAGAAGAATATGTATGGCCTGGCTGCTGCCGCTATTGTTATCATTGTCTTCGAATTGGCTCTTATTGTTATTTCCTGCATGTACGCTTGCTGCTACATTAACAAGAAGGTTGCTGCCGATGCTGATATCACAGGCCAAACACCACAACCATAAACATGTCAACTTCTATTTTTTATTTCAAATTATTGATTAATTATTTGATTTAAAAGATCTTCATGTTTAATTGAATTTATTTGAAGCTTTTAAATATTTTAATTTGATAATAACATCTAATCCTTAATTTTAGTCAAAATAAAGAAATGGAAGAACTTGGAATCGAAGGAACAGAAATTTCGATCGAAACATTCGATCAAGTTGCAAATCTTGCTTTTGGTACTCCTCCAAATCAGGATGCTCTCAATGCAATAAATGCTTTCTCTGAGAGAAATGATATTATGAATTTTCTGATTCCTTTGATTGAAAGTCAATGCTCTAGCCATGCAAAATTTGCTGCATTTGCAGCACTAAAGCAAAACATAACGAAAAATTGGGATTTTTTAGAAGATGTAGATAGAATTCCATATAAACAGTTTATAATTACTAAAATTGGTCAATATTTCATGGATGGCACCAACTCTCAGTCATTGTTAAATATAGCAAATAGCGTTTTGATTTCAATTCTTGAAGAAGATTGGCCAATTGGCTGGCCTGACTTCATTGATCAAATTCTCGAAATACAAAATGAAAATGTACCATTGTTCGATAACTACCTTTCAATTTTCCGTAATGTAATTGAAGATGTTTCTAAAATGGCATTATCAAACATATCTTCTGCTAAAATTACAAATATTTCAAATGGTATACCAAAAGCATTTATGCAAATTGCTCCTACACTTACTACGATCAATACAGAAACAGAACCAAAATATATCGAGTCAACTTTTAAATTTTTAGATGCAATCATGCCATTAGTTGATCCTTTACAACTTCTAGATTCGCCTATATTCAATATGTGCGTCGAAGGTCTAATAACATTTAATTCAAATTTAATGTATTTACTTTCAATATTTACGTCGATTACAAACTCCGCCTATAGAATTCCAATGTATCGTGATACAGTTAGTGCAAAAATTTTTGTTAAAATAATAGAAGCTTTAATTTATGGATCTCCAAACAATAGCGCTTATATAGATTGGACCCAGTTCGGATTAGATGTGATACAGAAGATAATTAACTGTTTTGACGCAATGATGACGAAATTCAGAATTCAAATCGAGACTGAAGACACGAATTCCCTTCAAACTGTGCTTTTATGGATTATCCAGATGATTGATGTTCATGACGACCCTCAAGTTCAGAAGTATGGCTTTGAATTTTGGTCAAATATTCTTTTGGAACTTTACAAAGAGAAACAGCATCAGAGCGTATCAAAATTCGGACTTTATCAGAACTGTGTTGATTTGATACCCCTGATTCTTCTTAAAATAGTCAAACCTTATGAGATATTTTACGGAGAAGACACATTTAACAAAGTAATGGTCAAAGACCTTGAAGATTCTGATAGTGCTTATGCTGCTCAACGCCAATGCCTCATTTATCTTATCAATCTTGATCCACAAGTCGTTTTCGACAAAATTAATGAATTATTCCAGAATACTTTTAGCGGAACTATGGATATTACAGCATTCCAACGCTTGTGCTGGATCATGGCGGCCATAGCAAACGCATTACCTGAGGATAGCGATGAAGGATTCACAAAAGACGTTTTTACAACGATGTTTTGGTATTTTTACGGAGAAGCGAGTGATGAAATCAAAGCCGCATTCGCGAATGAATACATGTACATGATTTCAAAGAGTACAAGAGTTCTTTCGAAAAATTACGAACTTTTTGAACAAATAACAAAGTTTGTGATTGATATGATGTCCCAAGATTTCGACCTTGAAGTCATAGCTATGGGCGTCTTCTGTTTTAGGTCTCTTTCTCAAGAATGTATGAAAAAATTTATTGATCCAAGAGAAGGAAGCGTTTACATCGAACAAATACTTCAGAATATTGATTCAATGATTCCGAACTTGGAAAGATTCGCAATTGTACCTTTCTTTGAGTGTCTTGCGAAAATTATTAAAAATGTTTACATTATTGAGACAAGACAAACACTTCTTGCGATGCTTTACACCCCATTGATTCAACAGTGGAACCAGAGTATCACAGATCTCAGTTCTGTTCAGCTTGACCAAGCAAATTATATTATTTTCCTGTTGAAGTGCTTCTCATCGCTATTTGGAGGTGCTGGACCTATTTCTCAGCCTGCAATTGAAGAGATCTACGAGTCAGTTATCTCTGTTTATGATACTTTCCTCAGATTTAATATTGAAAACGACGGAATGTTCCCTTGGATGAAAACTATCATGCAAAGTTGCATCAACGCGATCGAATCTTTTGCTATATCAATAGAGAAAGGATCAGAACTCAGTACTTCTTTCGCTGCTTATTGTGCTGTGAATTTTGCAACGACTTATAATGAATCAACGCCACAACAGAGGGTTTGTGATATTCCTCTCATGTTTGGAGTACTTGTCGCTGCCGGAGGAGTCTCTTTTTCTTTCGAACAATTAGATAATTTGACTGCCAACATATTTTATCCTACATACTTGATGATACAAGAGAACCAGCAGGATTTCTTGGCGTTTAGGAAGCCTCTGATCAAATATATCCGTGGTTTAATTTACGGAAATATTAATTACATTTACCAGCTTGATTCCGATCAAAAAGATGTGATTGTTAATGCTACTTTCCATCTTGCAAACTCCCCTTACCATGATATTGCTGTTGATGCCGTTAAACTTTATTCAGATTTCATAGATCAGAAAACTATATCAGTTTTCAAGCCAGAAGAAAAGAATAATTATCTTGCATGGATATGCCAAGTTGCATTAGTTCACTTATCCAAGCTTTTGTCAGACATGATCCATAAATTTATGTTTGATGAAATTGGAGCGGTGATAAAAGCTTATTTCTCTATTCCTGTTTTGATGAGAAACTCACAAGTGATTACTCAATGCCTCCATGAACTGTTCCCTGAACAAAATCCACAAGCACTGAATGATGTTGTTCAAAATCTGATTTCGAAAGTTGCTGTGAAAGAAGAGTTCCACACTGGTCTGAGAGATTTGATGATTTCGTTAGAAAAACTCAGTGAAAATGATGTCCTTTTCAGAAAGAATGTGGCTGATCAAATGAGGAAATCAAAGGAAGAAGAAAAGAGACATGTTCCTGGAATGCTGACTTCGATGTTCTCTACTGCTCAACGTGAAAATGCAATCGAGAATGTTAACTTTGGCCTCGCTAATCTATCTATTTAATTCTTTTATTTGTAATAAAAAAAATCATGCTATTTTTATATCGAAAATCTTACTATCAGCAATTAATAATATTGAACTATACGCATCTAATGACAAAAGACTGGACAATGTAACCTTTAAATTTCAGAATAGACGAATGTTATATGATGGAATATTAGATGCATACTCTAGCTAAACATCTTAATTAAAGAACGATATTTAAAGTGTAAAAGGAAAAGAAATCTCATAAAGATACTTTCCAATAGTTTCATTTCTATATTAATAACAAACACATAGAAAATTTATTCCAATACGATAAAAAAATAAACAACAAATAAAAAAAATTAAGAATCCTTTTAAACTAAGAAAGTGTAAACATCATCGGCATCAGTATGCTGAAGTAGTTCTGTTGCTATCTGCATCAGCTCTGTATCTTTAGGATCATCCATCCAAGTAGTTATTGGGATTGCATTGTATGGATGTAGAAGATACGACATCGGAGAGTTGTCTATTATAATTAATTTCTTGAGATTTCGATTAAGAAGACCTAAATCTTTGACTGTAGCTCCATTTAAATCAGAACAAGATTCTCTATATAGTTTATACTTGACAAGGTGTTTTGGATCGATTTGTTCAATGCAGTAATCAGCATAATCTTTGTTTGATGCTGTAAAAACGATTAGTTCGAATTTTTCTCCTAATGAAGTTATAAATTCTTCAGCATGAGGCCTAATAAGCACGCTAACAGGAATTGGAGCTGGTACTGCATTCAATAAGAAAGTAAAATTAGCATTTTGTATAGGAACAAATGATGAATGAATTAAGGTTTCATCTAAATCGAGAATAAGCGATATTTTTGAAGGATCTTTTGGTGGTGGAAGTAATTCTTTACAATTATGTTCTAACTGTGTGTTAGTAAAATTTATAAAAATTATTTGCCATATTTTTCAATATGGCAAATCGAAAACATACTGAGTAAGCTGACTGAGCAGTCTCGCGTCTTGGCACAACAGGTTGTGCTCGACAACATGAGGATGACGAAGATTTTTGCTTTTTTGCCTTTAATTCTTCAGCACTTTGGTAATTTTTCATTGAAAAACTAGAGTTATTGCCAGAATCAAACGAAGAATTATCTGCTGACTTTGCTTTTTTATTATTTGCTGCAATTACTAAAAATGCTTCTTGTTCAAGCATTTGGATAGATTCAGGATCAAGAGATTTGCCACGTGACAATTTTGAGCCGGTTGTTGCTTCTTTATAAACAGCGCTTGAACTTGAAACTCTTTGCATAGAAATTTTGAAAAAAACGAGAAAGTTTTGACATCCATAAAATGAAATCAATTGCATCATTATATTAATATATCATAATACATTTGATTGTAACAACCAAATCAAAACCTGTAACGGATTTTATAGTCAAACCTAGCAATTTCGCAGTTCTCTTAATGCTAAATTGTTCCAAATAACCACCTTATTAAGTTTATCATTCGATAATTTGGATTTAACATTAGATAAAAGATGAAATTTGTTGTTTACTGTTTTGTAGATATCTAATGCAATGATTATGATAGAAAGTAAGTTTAAATATTGCTTTTATATACGAAGTTTTCCAAAAGCGATTTCTGATTTTGATGAATAAAGTAAAATACCAATCACTAGTTCACTATCTTAATTTGTTCCAACAAGTCAATGGCTTGAAGTATTATTGAGGTTTCTCTATATTTTAAAAATAATTTTTCATTTCTCTGTGTAAAACAGCAATTATGGAGAGAAAATTAGTTTGGGAAAAAAGTCAAAAAATTCGAAGTATAAAGGAAAGATCTTTATGTTTAAAAAAAAGTATATAAAAATAATAATCGCATTTTTTCCGTAATAAATAATTATCTTTGATATCTAATTGTATTATTCCTCTGTACTCTGAAGAACCATAACGACATTTGAGCACTGGTTATCAATTGCGTGTTGCAAAGCTGTTCTTCCGCTTTTATCCACAATTTTGCTGTCTGCGCCACTCTGGAGCAACAGTTCGACAACACTTGAAGCGTTATTTTGAGCTGCGATCATCATAGGAGTTAATCCTTCTTCATTCACGGCGTTGATGTTTGCTTTCAAGGAAATAAGCTGCTTGACGACAACTACGTTATCATAGCTAGCAGTGTACATGATTGGTGTCCATCCTTTCGCATCTCTGACTTCGATATCTGCTTTTCCGTTTTCCACGAGAACTTTGATGGAATCGGCACCATTACCCTCACAAGCGTAGTTTAGTGCTGTTTTTCCTTCCTCATCCTTGAGATTTACGTCAGCTTTGTTTTCAATAAGAATCTTCACGATTTCGAAGCTGTTGTAGAGGCAAGCGATCATCAGAGCTGACTTCTTCTCTTTGTTGACGATGTTGATGTCGGCATTCTCGTCCAAAATGTAATGAACAAGATCTTCATTATTTTCGCGACAAGAAACCATCAAAAGAGTGTTTCCTTCTGGATCCGTGGCGTTGAAGTCTCCACCGCTTTCCAATAAGTAGAAAGCGATACTTGTAAGTCCATCTTCGACAATTGAGTGAATTATCGGAACTCCTTTATTATTTGTATCGTTTACGTTGGCCTTGACTTCAATTAACTCTTTAACGAGTGTTTGGTCGTTGGCTTTGCACGCGTGGTACAATGCTGAGTGCCCTTTGTTATCTTTAAGGGAAATGTCAGCTCCTGCATCGATTATAGCTGTTGCTACTTCAGGGCAATCACGAATTGCATGCATTAAAGCGGTTTTCCCGGCTTTATCTTGGAAATTAAGATTAACTTTTGAATCTATCAAATATTTAGAGATAACTCTATTACCTGTGATGCAAGAAACGATCAATGGTGAATATCCATCGTTATCTTGGATGTTTAGCTCTGCTTTGTTCTCAACAAGGATTTTTACGATGCTTAGATAAGATCTGTCGTGGATACATGCACCGAAAAGGGCTGTTCTGTTCTCAGGGTCTTTGAGATTGACGTCTGCTTTGTTCTCAACTAAAAGAGAGATGATCATTTCTAATCCAAGATCACATGCAACCATAAGAGGGGTTCTGGAGTTCATGTCGCGCATGTTAACGTCTCCATTGAAGACTTGGTCGTAAATAAACTTGAAATTGTAAGACTGGAAGCAGTTTGGCCAAGCAAATCGTAAATTTTTGTTCTTTTGGAGTTTTTCGATACCGGAATAGAAATGAGATTCAATAGCGTTGATAAAGCAATCGTCGTTCACTTCAAACATCTCTTCCAAAATGTCAATAATTTCTTGACGGCCGCCTTCGTAAGCGTATTGGAGCGTTCTGTGTGTAACAATAGCGTTGTTATCGTGTAAGAACTTGAAACAATTCAATGCTCCAAATTGGGCTGCCACATCAATAACTCTGATATTATCGATGATCTGATCAAAATCGAAGTCAGATGTTTCGCAAATTTGTTGGATAAGGTCAACTTTGTCCCAAAGAATGATGTATTGTATTGAATCCTCTTCGTAAATTTGGAAGATTTGTTCTTCTTCCATTTCAGAGTAAATTTGGTTATATTTTCCATTAATTATTTCTGCCATGCATAAGAGAGCCTGTAATTGTGCGCTATGCTTGCATTTATACTTTGATTCAACGAAATCTCTGTTTTCTGAGAATTCGAGACAGAAATTATAGATTGATTTGAGTTTCTTTGGACGTTTGAGTGCAATGTAATCTGCAATATCAAGGACTGCAGTGTCTGCCAGGTGACCTGAATCGACTATTTTATTAATTTTAGTGACAAGTTGTTTTATATTGCTATCTGTGATTTCCCACATCTCTTCTATTGTGTCACATAAATCTTTGAACTCAGGAAGTGTGATTTTACCATTAGATAAGCTTCTCATCTTGAAATTATAAAATTTTACCCCTCTTTGGAAGGGCAATTTATCAATTGTATGCTGTGATCTGAATAAAACATTGTTCAAGTCGTACTTTTAAAATAGCATGAAAAGATGGTTTTATTAGCAAATGAAATTTTGGTTGATCTGAATTTTTAAAAATTCTGATGCTCTACTTTAACTCCATGCACATGTATTATATTTGTTTGATGAATTTGATAATTTCACTGCAGTTTAAAAAGGATTTCGAATTGGCAAATTTTCTGAAAGTCAAATATTTAATTGAGTGAATAGCCTTGATAAGAAATAGTGATGCATTCTTTCTAATCAGAAATAAACTGCATTGAACTGAATCGAATTCAATAGTTTAATTAAGTACTGTTGGTTTCCTTCGAGAGTGATTATGACTCCTTTCTTCTTTGCTATTTCAACAACTTTATAGAAATATCTTGGGTGGACACTTAAAGAGTTTCCCATGTAGAAAAATGAATTCTGATGTGCTTCACAAAGTTGAGATTTTGAATTCAAAAGTATAATATTATTAACAGTGGTTAGTTCTAATTCTATATTTACTAAATCTCATATCTCAAAGAAAACAAAAATGAAACAAAATATCATAAAAATCGAATTCTGGTTGGGAAAATAATTGGAAAGTATGTCACGGGTTTAGTTGATCGGAAATGCTCATTTTTAATTCAATCTAGTTTTTGATAAGATTTTGATGAAAATTTTTCGAAACATTGAAAAACACTTCATTGTAGTGAGATCAATTAAAATAAAATGATATGCAAATTTCAGTGCGCAATCATCCTATCGGTTTTGACATGAAAATTTCATGCAACAACTATACGTGATCACATTAATTATTGATTTGATTAAAGCAATATTCAATTGCATCCTTCCTCAATCAAAGAATTACAAAGGTAATGTAGATGAGCCAGTAAATCACGAAGTTAAGCAAAAGTATTCATATCCAACTAAGTTTCCAAAATGGGCAGAACCAGTAACAGAACTATTTCTTGGAAGAACCAAAAACTCCATTAAATTTAGCCCAAATTGCAAACTGTTTCGATTTCTTCGATCTCAATATCCCGATAATATCGGAACAGCACAGCATCCCAATGGTCCGTTTATGCTCAAAGGCTGCAACTTGTTTATGTACAAAAATCTTCTATATCTTAACAAATTTGTTAAGCTGAATGATGATGAAATTAGGCTTTTGGGAAAGTATGCAATCAAAGACGTCGTTGATACTTTGAATGCTGGTCATTATACGGTTTGGTGTAGCATCCTCAATTGCACTGCATTTCTTGTAGGTGGAGTCATATACAGATATGCGAAACTTGTAGGCGCAGAAGAAGAAGTAATTGAAGAGATCAAAACATTTGCAAAATGCTTCAGAATGCATGATGATTTTGTTATATATCCATATGACAATTTCCTAACTTTCAATTATTCAGATGGTACGCAAAGAAAAATTCTTCATCTGGATCCAGATATGCCTCCATTGGAAATTGTCTATGATGATCCTGTTTTTGAATAAAAATTTGTTTTTTCAATTAAGAAATCAAAACGAACTGAGCGTTTATAAAGGATATTTTTCCCTTTTGAGTCTATATGGAAAAGGGATATTTAATGTACTACCTGACGATATAGGAGATCAATTTAAACAATGGCAATTCTTGCATTCGTGAACTTAGATTAAACTTACTATATTGAGGGATAATTTGATTGAATATTGATAAGATCCAGCTAGTTTTAGGAGCGACGTAGAGCATAAGTTTTTTGCAATTTTCAACTATTTGAAGTGGGAATGAAATGCCTTTTGATAAATGTTAAGGGGTTGCACCTCAATACCTTATGTTCTAATTAGAAAGACCCCATATTTGTGGATTAATCATTAGTAGTATATGTGGAAGGGTTGTGTGACTTTTTTTGTAAACGTAAGAATTCATACAATATTGAACGATTTTGTATCATTTTTTCTAACATATGAAGTAAAAAATGTATGATTCTTACAGTTTTTATTCTTACGTTTTTGAATAAATCAAGATTTAAAAAATTTTCAAATCGTAAGACATTTACACTCAGCCCATACTAAACGTATTAAAAAAATTAACATTAATTTTAAAAGAATTTATTTTTTATCTTTAATGAAAGAAGCTATATATAGATGATGTTAGATATTCCACGATTAATTAAACATTGTTTAAATCCTGAATGGGTTAAACTTCAATTTAAAAATAAAAGAATTTGACGAGTTCAACATTGAACTTTAAGAAACTAATGATTATTTGAATTTATGAAATCAATAATTTGATTTATTCGCTCTTCAATAATTTCTATTCTTTTTGTTAAATCATCAATTTTCATTAATGAGGTGATTCTTGATTGAGGAATAGATTTCAAACTAATCACCCCTTTTATTTTTGAAATTTTGAATCCATCAACTTTAAACATTTTATTCAATTTACATGTTGTCAATTCTTCAAATAATTTTTTATTATTAGCATAATAGTCATTAAATTCTTCAACAGATGAAAAAATTTTTGTTTCAGTAATTGGTTTAACAACGTTTATTTTTTGTTGAACATTTCCACTTTCATTTATTTCTTCCTCCTCTGTTTCATTTATTTTTAAAATTGGTTTCATTTATCATTAAATAAAAATTAGAATATAAGTGATGAAATATATTTTTTAATTAATATTAAATCAGAAATGGCGGCAGGATTCTTTAAAAAATTATGGGATGGAATTAAGAAAGCTGTGGGTTGGGTTTATAAAAAGGTTATTAAACCTGTTGCAAACTTTTTGGCACCAGTAGCGAAAACGGCAGGAACTATCATAGGTGGAGTATTAGGTACAAAAGCAGGTAATCCAGCGATGGGAGCACAAGCAGGTAACGCAATTGGTGGAATTGCTGAAGGAATACTTAATAAAATAGGAGGTAAATAGTGGAAAAATAAATAAATATTATTTTTATCTTAGTATCGGTTGTAGTCTTTGATAAACTTTTTCTCCTTTATTTAATATTTCTCTTATTGGGGCAGCTTTTGGCGTTATTGATTCAGCATTGTCACTAATTGCTTCTTTATTCTTAAATATCCAATTTGCTCCTTTCTTCATTGTTTCCCAAACTTTATGCGCTCCTCTTTTTACTTTATCCCACAGTTTCTTAAATATACCTGCAGCCATAGTTGATTATTTCATTAAAATTAAAAATTCATTTTCATCTTTTAATTTTGATTTTTTATTTAATAATAAATGACGACTAACTATTTGGTGCCAAACACTAAACCGATTAATGGAAATGTGTTTCATTCATTCGAAAAGATAAATGAAATATTCGCAAAGAATGACGGTAGAAGATATTATAGAGAACTTGAAAGTTCATGCTATGACTCTGATACTCCATATTTTGATGATAAACAAACTCATTTAAGAATTACAAATCCAGCTCATGATGTGAACCAATTAGGTGACACATATATTAAACGCAAAGTTAAAGCAACTCTTGTTTCAAATAAAGCTTTCACATGTGATGCCGCTTTTAAATGCATGCGTTTATTCGTTGGTTACAAATCATCAAATCAAAGCTTTAAACAATTAGAAGTAGAAACTGAAAGAGGTGATGCCGGTTATCTTCAGATGGAATGCGCCCGTGAATCTTTCGCATTTGCAACATATAAACCAAAATCAGAAAGGAAAGTTAAAAAGTTTGTTCATTCGTTATATAATAATGTTCAAAAATATGATAACTCAGTATGTGGTAAATATATTGACCCTTCAGAAGTTTTCAAGAAAGCAAATGAAGAAGTTGATATCACTTTTGATATGATTATTCCGGTAAATGATTTGTTAGCATTTCAGGCGTTCGATGATTATCCTAAATCATTTGGTGATATCATTCTTAAATATTATGTTTTCAGGGATACTTTAGTATTTTGTCAGGTTGACCCGTTAAGAGTTGCTGATTTACAAAATTACGTTTATGAAAAGATAACTGATGAAAATTATGAAAAGAGTATGAATCATGTTTATAAATATGATCGCAAATTCCAACAAATCGGACTTCCTGCCAAATTAATTACAAGCTTAGCTGCTACATCTGCTGACGCAACAGTTGATGACGTTATTATTTCATGCACAAAGATGGAAGTTTTAGAGGATAAATGCATTACACCAGGATACGGTTTAATTGAAGAATCAGTTAAAGCAATACCACGTTTATTCAGTAAGGAAGATCCATTCATGATTCCAGCTCAACATATTGACGTTCGTTCACTAAATGGAGGTTGCATCACTCCTGAAGGTATCAGCTCAGATTTCTCATACGCTCTTCATAATGTTACAGATGTTGTGTTAACATTTCCGAAGAATGCAATGCAAAGAACGGTTTTAGAAAATCCAATGCTTCGAGGTCTTCAGGTCACTATAGATTCCAGAAACTTCCCCGATCAAGCGATGACCACAGTGGGCGACATATTCTTTACACGTATGCTTCAAGCTTCTGATTTAGATGGAGTGAATGAATGCACGGAAGAATACGAGGACTCATTAACTAGACCACTGAATGATGATAATGGTGCAACTCAACCAAATTTATTAACTCGTGACTTACCGAAGAATGAAGAGAATGGAGACCCAATCATTTTATCTGAACCTGGTAAAGAACCTGTTGAAATTCCCACTTATCCAACATACCCCCCACCTCCTGATAACCCATATAAAATAGACATTAATTCTGAATTAATGAAAATTTACCGTGATATAATAATTAATAATTATGATTCAATAATAAATTTAATTGATCAATCTGGTTTAATTATTTTACCTTATGAATCATTAATTCACATTATCGCCATTCTTTGTGATGTTCAAGATTCAGACGTTAAGATTCAATTTTTCATAGATGATGAGGTTTCATGCTGCGGAACAGTTGCAAAAATAAATCCTATAAAGGATATTAGCACAATTAAGATATCAAAGAACGGAACAACAACTGAACTTCATTTAACATATAATGATATTTATATAAAATAGTTGATGAATATAAAATATCACTTGAAAAATTCTTTGTTAAGGCCATTTAATATTCAAGCATTAACATTATTGAATAATAATCCTTTGAATCATAATCAATAATAATTGACCTTTCACCAGTTTCTATCGTTTGTTTTATTTCTTTTTGTTCCCCACTATCTGGATCGGTCATTGTAATTGTTTTTGTTATAGTATCAGCTTTATCTTTAACTTCAATCTTTTTTCCATCAGGATATTTAAACCAAAATTCCAAAAATTCGATATTGTCAATCTGTTCATATTTTAATCTATCAATTACATTTTTAATACCATCTGAAAATCTTATGAAATGGTCATTATATGGGTTTGATTGAACTAAATTTGAATGAAGTGAAATATAACCCGATGATGAATATGACATTGACTCATATTTTCTGAAAACACTAAAATTTATAACATGAATGAATTTCTTATTCGTTGAATTTATGAATTCTTGAGGTAATCTTATCCTAGTTTTATTTATCACTGGAAAATAACGCTTTACCATATTTTTAATCGTAATAAAAATGTCAATTATCAATATTATTTCGAATAATAACTGTGAATTAAATTTAACAGTTAGCGGAATTTATAATGTTACTCTCGTTTCTGTGAGTGGTAAATTTAATCCCATTCTTTTAGACCCTTCAGATTATATATCATTTATTAAAGATGACCATGAAAAAACGTATGATATGTATATAAATAATGTGATAACGAAATGGGATATTAACATGATTTTAAGTTATTTAAATGAATCATTTATCGTATGGTATGAAGAAAATTTTAAATCAAAACCTGATAAACTTTTTGAACTTGATGAAATAAATAACCTTATTAAATTCCCGCTGAAAATTAAATTTTTGTACTCCTCATTTTCGTTCATTGTTGGGGATATTAAATTTTGAAAAAGATGTTGGGGATGTTTTGTATTCTGACACTGGTTCCAATTTCATTTTAATCAAATGTGATAAAGTTAATACCCCAATGAGATTTTCACATCAAACATTAGACCCTAACTCTTACCCATCAATACAAAACATTTTATCCATCAACTTAAACATATTTTCTTTATCATATCCGTTTCAATTATCTGGGAATTCATTTATTCTTCATTCAAAAGATTTATCAAATATTAAATTTAGAGTAACTGACCTATTTGATTGTGATTTAGAATTCATGAATGAAATATTATGGCAATTTCAAATAGAGAAAATAGGTGATGAGATAACAGATTAAATATTTATTTTTAAATCATAATAAATGATTAAACAACAGCAACCACAACAACTTAAGGCACAAAGCACCCAGGTCCCTCAGACCATTACATACGCCATATATGCATATAATTCAAAGACGGCAGAACAAACGCAAAGGTTGAAATATGGAGATTTGGAGATAGTATTGAAAAATGAACATTTCGAATTCGTTTGCAAAGGTGGTGCAGTGATATCAAATATAAAAGAAATTTTATTTATGAATTCAAAAATTAAAGGAATAACGGATGATATAACATCAATTCCACCAGAAGAACAAAGATATTACGCATTAAATGCATTTCCTAAAGTTTTGAAGATTGGAAGATTTAATTTAAATGAGGAATTCATAAAAGGTTTCCTAAATGACATAATGAAGAAAGCAGATAAGGAATGTGTTGCTGCTGCGTTAGAGAAGAAAGCGGATAAGGAATATGTTAACGAAAAAGATAATGAAATTAAAGAAAGTGTTGAATGGTATCATGAATGGACATCAAAGATTTTAAAAACTAAAGCTGATACAGGATGGGTTTCAGGATGTTTAGACCTTAAAGCGGATAAAACATATGTGGATGAAAAAGATAATGAAATTAAAGAAATGGTTAAATGGTATCATGAATGGACATCAAAGATTTTAAAAACTAAAGCTGATACAGGATGGGTTTCAGGATGTTTAGACCTTAAAGCGGATAAAACATATGTTAATGATGAGTTAGGGAAGAAAGCAGATAAGGAATATGTTAACGAAATATACCAAAGTTTGATAGGAACAAAAAATATTGAAACTATTGTTGGCGACTTTTCTGTCAATGAAGAAAATAAATATTTTAGATGGGAGTTTGTACACTCCTTAAGAAATGGTATACGGTATAAACTCATTCCGAAAAATAACAATGAAATGTATGTAAGTTATAAAAAGAATGATGGCACACAAGTTAAAGTTCCATTAGACAACAACTGTTACTTAAACTTATATGGAGACGAACAAAAGAAATATTTAAGAGTTTATGAAATGGTAGATATGACATTGCCTGACCCAGCTCCAGCACCATATTATTATGACTATGGAGATGATGTCAGAACACCACATGTAGATGAACAAAAGTTAACATTATATTTAGATTATTATAGATATAAAAGATATAATGCAATAGAAAAAACGAGAATAGTATATTATTATACAGATGACAGAAATAAATATTATAGTCAAGATTTTACCTACCCTGAAAACATAAGATTATATTATAAAAAATATTCTGACACAAACCAGAAGAAACCTGAAATAGTTACACTATATTTTAAGTTCAAAAGAGACAATCCTATAATATCTCATATGTTTGATTTAATGAACCCAGTAGGTTCTATTTATACATCTATGGATGCAAGAGGTCCTCAAGTAATGTTTGGTGTTGGTGCATGGGAACAAATAGTTGACAGGTTTTTGTATTGTGCAAACTCTTCAAAGGAAACAGGGGAAGTAAAACGATTTCAGGTGAAAATTTACCTGCACATAGTCACTACATAGATTTAAGCACATCTCAAGCAGGTTGGCATAAGCATAGATATTGGGATTGGTCAGGAATGACAAAAGGTAAAGGATATGATGTTAAAGACGACGTTAAGTTTGCCATAAATTGTTACTGGAGTGACACTCAGGGAGAAGGAAACCATACACATTTCGTTTCAGGATATACACAAACAACGGGACAAAGTAAAGAATACATGCCGCCATTTATGACTGTATTCGCATGGTATAGAGTTCAATGAACACACTTAACCCAAAGGGTTTAGGCTTACCGAATGAACTAAATATATTTTATGTCTGTAATTAATTAGGTAATGAAGTAATGGATGAACTGCAGAAAAGAAGTTAAAAGCTTGGGGTCGTTTTGTACAAAAATATTGTGAGTAAATGATTTAGGTTATTCAATAATTAATTATTTTTGAAGAACTGAAGGGGTCACCAGGTCACCAGGTCACCAGGTCATTTAACTTCTCTGAAAAAATGAGACAACATGACATTTTGACAACAACACAGAAAATGATTTGTCATGACTTCATCGGAATGAGTGTAAATGACCCAAAAATAAAGTTAGTTTTAAAATTATTTTTATTTTTTTATTTTGTATGTAAGAACAGAAATGTCAGTCGAAGCAAAAACATTCACGAACAAATCTAATGGCGAAACATTCACAAAAGGCACTTATAATGGTATTGAAGTCTTACGTAGAGACAAGGATGGTTACATTAATGCAACAAAGATGGCAAGAGAAGCGGGAAGGTTAAACCATTTAAACAGATTTCTCAATAGTGCTAAAATGCAGGAAATTCTTGAGTTTTGGATGAACGAATACGGTCAAGCCACTTTTGGCTCAACCTCAAAACAAGCTTTTTATGAGCTTACAAAGGGTGTCATGAATGAATTCAAAGGTATTTACATACATCCTGACCTCGTTCATTTTGTTGCTGAATGGTGCTCTGTAAAGTATGCATTTTATGTCAAAGATATTATGGACTCCATAGACAAGAGAGTTCATGAGAAATTAGATGAAGAAGAACTCGAAGATACAGTAGAGAATGCTAAACATTTGTTTGAAGAAGAAGTTGGAAAAATGTGCGAAAAACAATTAGAACATGAACGTGAGATATGTTATGGTTATAGAGATTCTCCATACGAACTAGACCAATGGGAACGAGAAAATTTAAAGAGAGAATTTAGAGAATATGAACTCGCTAAGATAGCATTAGAAGCTGCAGAAAAGAAGTTAAAAGCTTGGGGTCGTTTTGTACAAAAATATTGTGAGTAAATGATTTAGGTTATTCAATAATTAATTATTTTTGAAGAACTGAAGGGGTCACCAGGTCACCAGGTCACCAGGTCATTTAACTTCTCTGAAAAAATGAGACAACATGACATTTTGACAACACAGCAGGGGAAGGCAGTTATGAATTATTTTTGAAGAACTGAAGGGGTCACCAGGTCACCAGGTCACCAGGTCATTTAACTTCTCTGAAAAAATGAGACAACATGACATTTTGACAACACAGCAGGGGAAGGCAGTTATGAATTATTTTTGAAGAACTGAAGGGGTCACCAGGTCACCAGGTCATTTAACTTCTCTGAAAAAATGAGACAACATGACATTTTGACAACATCACAGAAAATTTGATGCAGTCCAAAAATAAAGTTAGTTTTAAAATTATTTTTATTTTTTTATTCCTATATAAAATGACAGCAACAAACAACAACAGCAACTTTATCGTTTCTGATGAAAAAGTTATTGATTCATTAGTTGAGGAATTAGTTGTGGCAGAAACTAAAACCCTCAACGAAAGAATTGGTGAAAACATGATTGATTTACATAACTACCTCAAACATGATGGAGGAAGAGGAAGGAAAACTGGTACAGCTTTATTAGTAAATAAAATTTCAAATTTAACGATTATAGATGTTGATATCAATAAATCGTACAATGATGAACTTAAAGAAACAGTTAGAAAAGACATTTTATCAAAACTTTCGGATAAAGATGTTATCGTTAAAACCGCTTCAGGAGGTCTTCACATTTATTGCAACACTAATTTCTTCTATGCAGTTTCGAACAGAATGATTAAATGTTATTCCTGCAATGATTATGATATCGATATCATGACTTCTATTGATGATTCAAAACGTTCTTTAGTGGTTATGGCTGATTCAAGAGTTCGCAAGAATGCATCAGAACCAATCAATACATACTCATTCATTCGTGGAAGTTATGATTCAACATTAACCAGAACAGTGAATGATATATTAAATGATTTGAATATTAAGGTAAGAGTTGAACAGAAGAACGAAGAAATAAAGAGTATAATGAATGAAAACAAAGATGTAAACATTGACGATAAACTAGCTCAAAGCATAGTTGATGGCATCTGTGATTTTGAAGTACATAATGATGGTGGAAACATGAATTTAGAAAAAGAAATAACATTATTCACACTGTTTCAAGCTATTAATTCGTTACCAGATCATTTAATTAATGAAGCATACGATAACGTTTATAACTTCTGCAGTTTAACAGAAAATGCTAAAAGTAATTTTGAAAAAGCACGTGATAGATATGCACATTTAATGACTTCTCCATTTGTTTTGGTGAAGATTCTAAAACTTTATCAAAAGGAATATTATGATGAATATGTTTTACCTTTATTACGTAAGCCAAAAATAACATTTGATATCAAACTTGATGACTCGTTTTTGATAACAGATATTAGACGCAAGGCTGAAAATCATCAGTATAAAAACAGTTCTGAAGTAATTGAGGATTTATCACGTGTAATTCGTTTTGTAGATTGTGGAAACAAATACTTCATTCAGAAAGATTACAACATACACGACAAAATGAATCAAATATCATTCGTTCTTCAATCAAACATGAAAGAGTCACTTAAAATGATTAAATTATTTAAAGAAGAAGGTAAAACCATAACAGCATGGGACGTACTATTAAATCAATTATCCTCATTAACTGTTAAGGGTGTTTGCTTTAAATCTGATTCCCCAGATGTTTTCTCAACGTTTCAGGGTTATAAATACAACATTCTCGAAAAGCCTGATTACTCAAAAATTGAGATGTTTATGGATTTCATTAAAGAAGCCATTTGTGATAATAATGATGAAGTGTATAAATACCTTCTCAGCTGGATTGCATCAATGATTCAACATCCTGGAATCAAGAATGAAACAGCAATTATTTTGAAAGGACTTCAGGGAACAGGTAAAAACAGATTTACAGACATTATTTCTGAACTTCTCGCTGGTTATTCATGTAAAAACATTACTGAAATAGGTGAGCTAACGGGTAATTTTAATTCAGTTGTTGAGAATAAAATGTTTCTTGTACTTAATGAACTCAAGAATGTAGGTGAAGACAGACTCGCAAACTTCAACGCTTTGAAATCAATTATTACGGACAATGAGATTAGAATTAATGAAAAGAATCAACCCAGAAGAACTGCTCAGAATGTTGCAAACTTCATTTTCGTAACTAACAACGTCTACCCTGTCAAAATTGAAGTTGGAGACAGAAGATACGTAGTTTTAAGAGTTAATGGTAAATTCAAGAGTCAATTTGATTACTTCAAGAATTTAATGGATTCATGCACAAAGGAATTTTATGATAACCTTTTAACATATTTTATGCAATATGACCTTTCATCATTTAATGTACGAATCATTCCGATGACTGAAGCCAAACAAGATTTAATCGAGTTATCAACAAATCCTTTAGATGAATGGATAAATACACATTATGATGAATTATGTGCAGGTATGACGTGTAAAAATGCTCTATTCTGCAAACCATCAGACATGAAAGACAAAAACTTTCAAATGAGCATTAAGGATAAATGTGAAAGGAAACAAAGAAAAATAGATGGTAAACAAACATGGTATTATGTTTTGAAAGAAGAAATGAAAGGATTATATAAACAAATTGAACCAAACGATAATGAGGAATCATTTACTGACGATGAAATACCTGTGAATGAAGCTTTATAAAGTATGATTTGAATTTATTTTTGCATTAATCCCGCTGTGTTGTCAAAATGTCATGTTGTCTCATTTTTTCAGAGAAGTTAAATGACCTGGTGACCTGGTGACCTGGTGACCCCTTCAGTTCTTCAAAAATAATTAATTATTGAATAACCCATGATGTTGTCAAAATGTCATGTTGTCTCATTTTTTCAGAGAAGTTAAATGACCTGGTGACCTGGTGACCCTTCAGTTCTTCAAAAATAATTAATTATTGAATAACCCATGATGTTGTCAAAATGTCATGTTGTCTCATTTTTTCAGAGAAGTTAAATGACCTGGTGACCTGGTGACCCCTTCAGTTCTTCAAAATAATTAATTATTGAATAACCCATGATGTTGTCAAAATGTCATGTTGTCTCATTTTTTCAGAGAAGTTAAATGACCTGGTGACCTGGTGACCCCTTCAGTTCTTCAAAAATAATTAATTATTGAATAACCCATGATGTTGTCAAAATGTCATGTTGTCTCATTTTTTCAGAGAAGTTAAATGACCTGGTGACCTGGTGACCCCTTCAGTTCTTCAAAAATAATTAATTATTGAATAACCCATGATGTTGTCAAAATGTCATGTTGTCTCATTTTTTCAGAGAAGTTAAATGACCTGGTGACCTGGTGACCCCTTCAGTTCTTCAAAAATAATTAATTATTGAATAACCCATGATGTTGTCAAAATGTCATGTTGTCTCAAACTTTAGAACGGCATAATTTAAATTTTTATTTTTATCATAAATGAATACCCCACAAGCTCAAAATTTACCACGAATCATAACAAGGGAGGAAATGATAAAAATGATGCAAGAACATGTTAAAAATAACAAACCACTAAAATTGAGAAAATGTGGTTATGCAGTAATGATGGAAAGAGAGATGTTGTCGAAGAGGAATAAAAATTAAATTTGGATTGAGTTTAAAAATTCATCTTTATTAAATTCATCTCTTCCAATCAATTTATTTATTCTATTAAATTCTTTTATTTTTGCTTCACTCAGTTTAATGATTGAACGGTAAGCTAATTTTTCGATTATTTCTTTATCGTTTTCAACCCCACTGCATTGTGGCTTCTTTTTGTAATAGCATATTTTTGATTTAATTCTGTTTAGTTTCTTTTTATATTCATCGTCTGGACTCTTGGCTGCTTCGTTGTCACTCATTTCTTACGAAATAAAAAAAATTAAATATTATTTAAATATAATGGAGTAATAAAATAAATCGGAATTTCTATTAATTTATTGTCAACTTCAACTAATACATTACCGTTAATATATCTAACAAATTCAGCTATTGTGTCAAATCTTCGTCTTCTTTTTGTCATTGATTTATCAGTTTTTCCATAATCGAGATGAATCAAAACTTTATCCCCTTGTTTAAAATTCATGAGCCCCGAATTAATTTGTTCACGTTTAACATCATTTAATTTTTCCATTTGCTTTCTAATATATTCCCATTCTTTTGAAATATCATTTTTCATTTCCACTGGTTTCATGTTTATAGTTCTATGCCATGTATTATTGTAATATATACTAACTGTTGTATGATGGAGTCATGATTTCCATCCCAGTATATCTGACCGTTAACCCTAACGCATCTCTAAGAGTTCTCATTACCGCATCAACTATTTTATTATGAAACGTATATGGAGAGGATGAAAAGTAAAAATTAATTTGTGGGAAATAATGAGTCATAGCTGCCTGAAATCCTTTATCACCATCACCCCTGATATTATCTACTCTTTCATGATCTAGTAAGTATTGAATAGCTCTTCGTGTTTCCTGTTCTGTTTTCCCTTTCACTGGAATGCAATATAAATATCTAGTGTTAATGTTAATGGCAAATAAATAAGTAACGTTTCCTTTTGAATATTCCAGATGATCGATTTCGTATGAATATGGATATGGAGCAAATGAGGGGCGACTAAATTTTTCCTTTAACGGTTGAATTTTTGGGTCAGTTGGTTTATTTAATATCTTGAAATCCTTTTTAAAATCTTTTTGCTTCTTTAATGTTTGAAATGGATATAATAAAGTGAATGATGAAGGATTAACTGAAGGAGGAGGCGGTACTGTCGTTGGAGGTTTTGGTGTTGTAAGTGGTTTAATTTTATCTACTTTGATTTTGGATTTCATTCCTTCCTTCATTAATTCTGGATGTATTTTATTCATTTGTTTTAAATATGCTGTATATAAAGGTTTGATATACTTTCCCGCTTCGAGTTTATGTTGAAGGATGAATTCCAAAAGTTGATCTTCATTTAAAAGTCGGGCTGAATATGGTTTAACTAATGAATCATAAATTAAAGCTTGTGCATCATTTATAGTCTGAAGGACCTGGGTGTTTTGTTTTTGTTCCTTTGGCTTTGGTTTTTGTGGCTCAGGATTATATAAATTATATAATTCATCAATATCTTCTTCTGTTAATACTTTATTTTTGAAATCTTTCAACTGTTTAAGCTGTGATTTAGTTTTTCCCTTTATATATTCATTATTTTTAATTTTGTCTTTAATTTCAGAAATTATTTTATTATGATATTTCAAAATTTCATTTTTATAATATGGATAATAATATTCCATATCATCACCCGTTATATTGTTATCATATTTTTGGAGATATGCTTTTAAATCATAATAATTAAGAAAATTTTGATTAAATACTACATCATCAATTAAATTTTTTAAATCTGTGTTATTCATTTATATAAAAATAAAATCAATGTTTTAAGGGTGCCCACCTCTTTGATCAAGAATCACCTCATTAATGAAAATTGATGATTTAACAAAAAGAATAGAAATTATTGAAGAGCGAATAAATCAAATTATTGATTTCATAAATTCAAATAATCATTAGTTTCTTAAAGTTCAATGTTGAACTCGTCAAATTCTTTTATTTTTAAATTGAAGTTTAACCCATTCAGGATTTAAACAATGTTTAATTAATCGTGGAATATCTAACATCATCTATATATAGCTTCTTTCATTAAAGATAAAAAATAAATTCTTTTAAAATTAATGTTAATTTTTTTAATACGTTTAGTATGGGCTGAGTGTAAATGTCTTACGATTTGAAAATTTTTTAAATCTTGATTTATTCAAAAACGTAAGAATAAAAACTGTAAGAATCATACATTTTTTACTTCATATGTTAGAAAAAATGATACAAAATCGTTCAATATTGTATGAATTCTTACGTTTACAAAAAAAGTCACACAACCCTTCCACATATACTACTATCATTTGCAATTCACCAAAAATTAATTTTTTAGTATTTTCTAAGAAGGACTGGAATATACGAATTACTGATTCTACAGTATATTTTTCCTTTAAATTTCACGAAAATTTGATGAGAGGCTTCGGAAAAACTATAGCATATTCGGCTAATTACAGAATCCTTGGCTCTTTAAGAACCAAGAAACAGTGATTGAGTAGTTTAAAGCAAGGTACTTCCGATATATACAGTTGGAATGCCAAGCTCGAGTAGTTACAGAATCTTTGGCCCTATGGGAACCATAGGATGATAGAATAAACACAGGAGAAACATAATAACCATGCAGCCAAGATAGTATATGATAGCAGCTAAGCTGCATTAATATTGCGCTTCTCGCTTGCAGAACTCTCATGGAAGACCAAGTGGAGATCTGATGCCTAAATCGCTTGTTGATATGGATGGAGCAGCCTTGAAATATATATTAATTTTACTAAATATATGCATTATATATTATATGATAATGGACTTTTTGCAATAGTCCCTATTTAACATGTAAAATATATATATACCTCCAAAGTTCTTTCAATTACAATGAAAGGGTGGAAAATTCATGAAGAAAAACTTAGCAAATAAAAAGGATCTGAATATGAAAACCATGAAGTTAAAGAAAATTCTTCGAATTCATTCTTGGCGATGTTTTAGAAAGTATAATGGGTCTTGATAAAAATGGAAAGTTTATTCCAGTTAGGCAAAATCAAATAGATATGCTTTTTGTTCGTGGAGATAGAATTGTTGAGCCCCTCTTGGCTGGGTGAAAAATCACCCACGTTATAAAACTATGTTAAGAGCAATCGTTCACCTTCACTTACTTCTTTAATTGTCCAAAATGAGGTTTCTTACTAAAGATATCATGTATAGAAATCATCCAAAAAAAAGTCTCATATCGTTAAAAAGTGTAGAACAAACCACTCAAGAGTTAGTGTGTGTTAGTATGTAAGTCAAAAACAGTTATATCCTTTATCAAAAATGAAAATTTATTACAAGGGAGAGAAATCAAACAAAATTATAAATAATGGACTGCTTAAAACTTTTTAACTCTAGCATAATAAATCATTTCTCTCCCATCTTCGTTTTTTTTACAATTCTCTTATAATATTTCTTTGTATGGTTTGGATCCAATGTTTGGATATCCATCTGGTCAATTCTCATAATTCTATGTACCAACTTCTCATCTTCAGGAATCTGTGTGTCATCAGTGATTTTAACAAGTCTTTTAATCTTTTTCGGAGATTTCGGTGGATCATCCCAATTTTCTGGGTCTTCCTCGGCCGGTGGTTTGCTATCGAACTGGTAGAGGAAGAAAGTGGTCATAAGACTTGCAACGGCCGCTCCCAAAATTGTTGTTTTTGACATTTCGTTTGTTGGATCAGCAACTTGAGTATAAACCTTCTTGAAGACTTCGTGTCTTGCTGAGATAACTTTCATGATGATTTCGATGGCTCTGGCGATCTTTACTGGTTGGACATCTTCATATGTCAAATCTTCGTTTGTATTTTCACTTATCGTAAAGACAAACTCCATGAGCTTTGGATAAATATGCTTTTCCAGACGAAGATTCAATGCATCGAGGAATTGTAACTTTCCATTCATTTTTCCGAGTCTGAAAATGACTCTAAGAATGAAAACAATTTTCGACATCAATGATTTGTTCTCAGGAGTTCCAGATCCGTAAGAAATAAGGCCAGGAATGATGAAAGATTCGAAAAACATTGATCCAACGATGTCATATAACTCTTTGCAAGAATTTGTACGTACAGCAGCATATGATCTCAATATTGCAAGCATCTGCTTGACAACAGGAGGTACTTCGTCAACTGATGAGACAATATATTTAATAATCGTATTAATGAATCGCTCGAAAGAAGGAAGATCAACATCCTTTGAGTTGATTCCGTATCCATTTGTTTCGAGTATGTAATCAGCAAGTTTCTTGATAAAAACTTCGTGATATGAAAGTCCGTAAATTGAGTAAATGTATTCGAACATGTTTCGTACATGTGTTGGCTCATCAACTAAGCGATTCAAATCTTGGTCTTGGTCGGAGATTTCTGTAATGAAAACTGCATTTACGGATTCAATGAATTTTCCTGCATGTGTGTAGATATCTAAGAAAGCTTTGATAACTGGTTTGGATATTGCATCTTTTGGTGATGAACATTCAGGAGAAAGCAAAGATCTGAGGATTAATGCGTCTGCATTAGCAATTGCTGGATAAGCAGCCTGGTAGAGTTGATCTACAGCTGGATTGTTGAATGCTGTGAAGAAATCAACGATGTTTACTGGTGCTTTTGTTGTATTTACCCACAATGCGACATGTTTTGGATCTTCTGGAGTAAATTTCAGATAACTTTGGTTCCGCTTGTAATATCAACTGATAATTTGTCCTTTCCTTGAGAAATCAATGCAACTTTGCCCTTTGTTTTTTCAACGAAGTCTGTTCCTTTGAATTCGTAGAAATAGAACATATTGTCAGAGTCTAAGACTGCCCAGAAGTTCTGTTTCTTGCCTTGTTTGCATCTTGAGATGGCAACGATATTTTGTTTTGTTTGTCTTGTGAATATTGGTGGAAGTACGCATTTCGTGCACCATGTCAGAACTTTATTTGGTTCTTTGACGAGATGAATGATTTTAACCATGAAAAGAACAAATTTTTTGGTATTATCTGGAACAATCAAAGGATGAAAGAAATTGACGATGTATTTGTATGAATCAGGCTCGAATTGATTTCTAGCGTATTCTATGAACTCTTTTATCATTGGCGTTGGCTCTGAAATCAATTGTTTTAAGTCAAGTGCGTTAAATTCATTAACAAGCGCTGTTAAAGACTTCAGTGGCATCTTTCCTTTGAACTGTGATGCTCCTGTGAAGTCTGTCGACTTTAACGAATTGTAAAAATCAACTGGATAATTGGTATATTTAACAAACGGTTGATCTTGGTATGATACAAGGAAATCTGATGGCTCATATGGTGGTCTTAAGGACTTTTGAGGAGCTTGAGTAGCTCCTGATGCTTTTTCTGCCATCGAAATATTTATTAAAGCCTACCTTTCAAAAAAAAACAGTTATGCGTTAGCGCTGATCTGCTAATTTATATATATCATAATGATATGCAATACAAATTGAAAAAGGTGTTGTGAATAATTGAGGAAAAATTGTAATGAAAATTTTTATGTTTTTATTACAAGTGGAGATGTTTAGTTCTGTTTCATTTTCTTTAAGAAATTTTTGAAAGTGTGTGTGAACTAATTTGGCTCAAAAAAAGTGGATAAAAATTGAAAGAAAAGAAATATCGATGAGGTTAGTAATGTTATTTCGAGCCTAAAAACTAAAAAATACGATACACTAATCAGCATACTGATATAAACAGATTGTATTTTGTGTAGCTCATTAACATATGAAGTGTCAGATTAATAATGCGTAAAACGCGTATCGGTAAATCGTGCAATGAATTATAAAGTCATGGTAATGTACATGCTATGTAATGTTAGCCCGAATGAAAGAAATAAAATACTAATGGAATCGAAAAAATTACAAGTAAAGCAATTGTTAATAGTAAATATTTCCTATTATAAAGTATCTTGTTCTTCCATCGCTTTAACTTTAGAATCATTTTTTGTTTCGAGATATTTGATTTTTCTGTTTTTAGTTTGATTGATAATTCATCGCTATATACAAGCGATGTATGTATATTTGCCATTTTTCTATCTATTTCCTTTGGACTGAGTTGAGTAAAATAATCTACGTTACATTCTGAGATTAATGAAGCTATATCAGATGAAAACGCAGAGTTTTGCGAATAAGGACTATAATCATTAATGTACGGAGCAATTTTATCCATCCATAACGATTCTAATTTATCAAGAAACACGTTTTGACTTTGTAGATCAACATCTCTTGTGGCAAGGCAGAGAAATATATAGCCTTGATCATTTAACTTCAATGTAAATACATAATCTCCATGATCTGCAAATGCATTTTTATTATTTCTATTCATCGACTTAATAACACGCAGTGCAATTTCAGTATGATTACCAGTGATAACTGAGTATTCGCATAATGGCCTGTTTTGGCCAAATACTAGCCCATATAAAAACCCTGATTCAATACTCATCGAAAAAAAATAATTGATGATCGAGTAGGGGTAATTTTAGCTAAAAGTGACACACCCGTGAAGGGTGTGATTACCGATCGGTAATTTCGACAGTTTAGAATTTAAAATTTTTTATGGAACTGTTGCGAGTTTCATAAAGAATTTAAGGAATATAAGCAAAGATTTGAATCAAAATCTTAGACCTAAGCCGCTCGATTCGCTCGCGGCTTCCGCGAATTACAGATCAGCAAAGATTTGAATCAAAATCTTCGAACTAAGCCGATCGCTTCGCTCGCGGCTTTCTTTATTATTTTAAATTTGCATATTTCCATCAAAAGTTCATAAGGTAAAAAATTTCGTTTATTTTTACTAAGAAAAAAAAGGTTTTTGATAATAAATTTATTTTATTTCGAAAAAGTAGCAATAATCGTAAAAGGGTATTGATAGGCTTGCTAAAGTAACTAATTTTAGCTGTCAAATACTTTTGTATTTTGAAGTAAATTAGTATAAATTTGTTTTTACTTTTATTTCGAAAAAGTAGCAATAATCGTAAAAGGGTATTGATAGGCTTGCTAAAGTAACTAATTTTAGCTGTCAAATACTTTTGTATTTTGAAGTAAATTAGTATAAATTTGTTTTTACTTTTATTTCGAAAAAGTAGCAATAATCGTAAAAGGGTATTGATAGGCTTGCTAAAGTAACTAATTTTAGCTGTCAAATACTTTTGTATTTTGAAGTAAATTAGTATAAATTTGTTTTTACTTTTATTTCGAAAAAGTAACAATAATCGTAAAAGGGGATTGATAGGCTTGCTAAAGTAACTAATTTTAGCTGTCAAATACTTTTGTATTTTGAAGTAAATTAGTATAAATTTGATATTATTTTAACTCCCTTTGAAAACCTCAATTTTCCATACAGAGGGAACGGGAATAGCATCCAATATTCCCTGAGAATGGTTGCGCATTCTCAGTTCCCTCTATATTTCGAACGAAGCTCTCATCGGTCTTTTTTTTAATACTAAACGTTTTTTTCTCCCTGTCACTTTTAGCTAAAAATTGGGTTTGCCATTGATGATCTGCTTTTTATAAAAATCATAAAAAGGAGATCACAATTATACTATTTCGAAGTGAATGTAACGGATTACAATTGCACACTCTTGAAATTTGAAAGAATTTCTGACGTTCAACAGAATTTTTTCGAGGTGGAATTTTACATTCAATTTTTTTTGAACTTCTGACGACCATTTGTCAAAAATATAATTTTACCCTTAATTACCCTTTTTGTTGGCAGATTTGTAAAAAAATGAAATCAAATAAATATATAAGCGGGGTGTTAATTTACATGGACAAATAAAAAAGAAAGAAAAATATTATATTGTTGAAGATTCTTCGAGATCAATCAAATCACGGACCATTTGTGCAGCTTTAGGATCAGTTTTTTCGAATGTTCTCAATCTATTTGAAGCATCAATGTCGAACGGATCGTTCATGTCGTCATAAACCTCTTTAAATTTCTGTTCTCCAAGAGATTTCTTTAATTCTGTCTTTAGCTTCTCTATTTTACGAGATGGAGTATCAACGCATAATGTAGACTCCAATACCATTGTTGCTCCTTCAAGCATTGTAAAATCTCCGAAATCATCTGTTGAATCTTCCTCTTCAACGGTAAACTCGTCATTTTTGACTTCCGAATCACCATTTTCGTCTTCTTCGTCATCATCATCGAAGTAGGAGCTGTCAGATTCTTGTTCTTTGGGAGATGGAATATTCTTTGGTTCTTTTTTGGTTCCTGGTGAAGGAATTGGTGAATTCTTCAATGTAGAGTTATTGTTCTCGATCATCTTCTTCATTACATCGCGAATGAAAGGTAATTGTAAAATTTGGGCAGAAGTAGGTCTAAAAGAAGGATCCATTGATAATAATCCATCGACGAGATGCCTGAGATCATTGGAATACATAGAAGGAATCTCTTTGTGATGGCCAGCCAAAATTTTATCAAATAATTCTTTTTGATTTTCTCCTGTAAATGGTTTTTCGAGAGCGCACATCTCGTAAAGAATGCAGCCAAGGCTCCACATGTCGGCCTTCGTATTGTATTGTTCACCTGACCACACTTCTGGGGCTAAATAATAAGGAGTTCCAATTACAGTGGTAGCCAAGCCAATTGAGGACTCGAGGGTCTTAGAGATGCCAAAATCTCCAAGTTTTGCTATTCCGTTTTTCATTAAGAATACGTTTTCTGGCTTAATATCACGATGAATAATATTTTTCTTGTGAATGTATGACAATGCAATAACAATCTGTATAAAGAATGATAAAACATCCATCTCTGACATATATTCATGCGTTTTTTCAATGACGTTATCGAGATTTCCTCCATCTACGTAATCCATTACGATATGTAATGTACATTTCTTTATGAAAGACTTATAGCATCTAACAATATTTGGATGGTTGAGTTTTAAAAGAAGATTGACTTCTTCAAGGGCTTTTTGACGTTGTTCTACTGTCATCCCTGAGAGTTTCACTTTCTTTATAGCATATTTAGTGCCAGATTTCTTTTCTTTAGCTAATACAACTTTGCCATAAGATCCTGTGCCGATTGTCTGAATAACTTGATAATCGGACAATGACATGTAAAGAACTATGATATGAAAAGTGACAAATTATTTGATTTCTCATCAGCACTTTTATTATTAATGAAATTGGTGCTACTCAGTGAGATGATATAAAGTCTGTTCCGATATAATCGGAATTGACTTATTTCATCTCTTTCAATGAATTTTATTATTAAATTAATCCGAAATTTACAAAAACACATTCAAATCAAAATTTCATATGATGATTTCTGTTCTCCATTTTAAGTGTTTTGGTTTTCTAATTCGCGATAAGTAAACACTGTTAATGTTTGTGATTTTCTCAATTTTGGAAGCTGCCCCAATGTTAAAGTTAGGATATTCTAAAGTTTTATTTAATGAAAATAATTCGTATATATTTCCATCAAATACAGGGGTAAAATATGCCATATTTATCAATATTTCAGAATCTAATGTTATATGTAAAGCAGACTTCGAACCAGGAAGTACTTATATTGCTGAAAAATCTACCAAAGGTGAAACTCCTTGCTATGTAATCTCCTATCCAGCAGATACAAATTGCATTATTACATATAACTATAATCTCTTAACAGCTCAGATACCTGGTAACACTATATTACTTGAATTCTCCTCTACGTTTGTTGTAGCACAATTTTTAGTTAATTCAGAAGATGCATCCAATGTTTTTCTATCTACTTCATTCGAAATTAGTGAAAGTGATTATCATGCTTCTTCAAGTAGTCCTCGCATTGATATATGCGGTGTAAATTATTTTTCTATATATAACAAAGGTACCAGCCCTGTCAATTGTAGCTATTGGCCATATATGAATTATGTTTATGAATACAGTAATATTTTTGGAACTCTTGCTTATTCTGATATATCACCTGCTTCACATATAGAAAGTTTCAAATGTATATGTGAAGCATTCTATAGCCAGGTTTCTCCACAAAATGGCTTAACAATACAAGATATTTCCACAACGCCTCACGTGTTTGTTGCTTTCGATGCAAATGAAATTGATTCCATTGTATGTATTGGAAATAGTCGTGTTATTCCATTGAAAACTGATGCTCTTCCCATAGGACAAGCAAAATACGCAATTATCGCATCGGATCAATATATCAGAACAGATTTAGCTTTTTCTCCTGAAATAACTGTTAAAGTTTATAATGGAGCAACTAAGAGTGGAACACCTTCACATATGAGTGACTCCACATTTGAGAGTTTTTGTAATCTTCTTGAAATCACAAAAATGACTGATATTCCATCTAATAGAACATATATACAAGGTATAATGGGATCAAATTATCAATATGAAAATTCTCTTGACTCCGCTACTCTATATGGAACTCTCTTCGATACTGCATTAACTACGAATTACATTTTTTTATCCACCAGTTATTATAATAGCTATAGCCCAGGACCTTTTTATACAAGGAGCAATTACATGTACCTTTTCCAGCCAGGGCATGCTGCGTTTTACAGAACATATGAGGAAGTAAAGATTTTATATACTACAAATGTTTTCTCACAACCCTATGATGGTAATCAATTATTCATTTCCAGCTCTTTGTATGATAATTCACTCATTCTTTCAGGAAATATCACTGACGCTAAAATGATTGATGCTCAATCATATTTTTATTCTATTATTTACTACAACTTTGAAGATGTAATTGTTAACCTCTTTGCTGAGGAATCATTTTATTATGGTAGTTCTACATCAGGATATATTTATACTAATCAATTATTTTACCACGAAATTGTAGTTCCTCCGGGGAAGATCGCTGGATTCATTTCATCTACATATTCAGGCAATACAATTCATGCACCAGAAGGTGGGCTTTCAGGCTCCATCGCCACAAATATTTATCCACTATTGTATAGAAAGACATTAATCACTATTACAGATAGCGTAATAGTTGTAGCTCCATCAAGTGAATACAATTTATTTGTTGCAGTTTTCGTAAATCCAGGAAACTTCCAAGTAAATGGAGAACCTCTTAAAACCGTTATCATTAACCCATCAAAGATGGAAATTACTGGTTCTGGAATATTAGAAAGCTCATTACTTAATGTTCCAGAAACAACATATTTATCAGTTGTTGTCAATATGGATAAAGCTCACTACATAATCAATCCACCAGATGATCTTACTCAAAAGTATGTATTTATATTAGTATCTTCAAAAAGTTTCAAATACAATTTTCATATGGGAAATAAGGTAAGTTTTACCTACTACACTGGAGATGGTACTTCAGCTGGTTCTGATAGATTCTTCTCTTCAACATACACAGATCCGATTTATGGTGTACTCACTTTCGATCAAGGAGCAGGTGTTTCCTATCTTGATTGCATCGCTCAAGAGCCTATTCCTACAGAGGCATCTAAATTTGTGGGTCCTGCAGGTGATGGTTTCATTAATTTCCTCACTGGACCTGAAGCTACAATCGCAGCAGTTGAAATTGCTTTTCCAGTTCATTATTTTTATATGGCAAAACTTTAATGAGAGATTTACGTCTTCATGGGAATTATAAAATTTCTCATACTGTCAATTGTCTGAACACTTTTGTGATCAGACAAATAAAAATTGTTTGATATTTTCTTCAATAAACTTTAGCATAATAAAATTTAGCATAATATCATCATCATATATTTTTTGAGTCAGACGGTTTTTGATTTTTTGATGCAACAAGATTACATGAACTAAACATTCATATAATGAATATTTAAATTGAAGGATATTCATTCTTCTTATGTTGATGTTTGGTATCAGAATTTCCCAGATACTTCAGATTTCAAACTTAAAAGGAAATCTGATTCTTTCAAACTCACAAGCGGTTCCTTCTTTGTTTATATTGTTGAATTTTCGGACATTTTAAATGATGGATGCATCAATATTAACACTTATTCCAGTGATTCTATTTTGTTTGCCGATTTTTGTATTTCTAAAAATTGCAGCTCATCATATGACAGCACGAGAGCCGGATTCCTCAAATTCAACTCTAAAGGTCGATCCAAGATCAAGAATGTCTTTTGTTATATGAATACTGTATATGGTGCATCATTCAGCGGCCAATCAATTTTATTAAATAACGATTATTCTGAAATATCCATATCTTCTTTTGATAGATGTTTCGGCAGTGGGGAACAATCAGGTACCTTACGATATGTATGTGATATCGATGTTTCTTCATTAAACGAAACGAATCTTGAATGTAGCTTTTGTCCTGCTTTTAAAGGTCTAAGAAATATAAATGTGAGTTTTTGTTCGTTTTCCTCAAATTTTGCTTCTAGAACTGATATTTTGCTTCGTACTGGAAAATATAATTTTTTCCTTACTAAATGTATCATTCTTAATAACACAACTCCACTATCTCTTGTTTGTATAGAAGGTGGATCGAGATCGATTGTTTCAAAATGTTCTTTTGTTATGAATAATTCAACAATGTGTTTCCGTTCAAATGTATTTCAATACAAGAATTCTTCAATGATTGTTGAAGATTGTTCATTGATTGATAATATATATAAATATAGTTATGCAACTGGTATTGACTGTGTTGTTGATGTGAATAATATAGGAACACAAACATTCTTTATTCTTTTATCATTGAAAAGATTAGAAACTCTTCCACGATTTATTGACATCAAGATAAGCTGTAATGCTATTCATTTCTGTGCCAATCTCCATAATGTATATTTTCTTGGCTTTATTTTATTTCCTTAAACTTCACTTTCTTTTCTAATTCAACAGTTTTTAATTACAGTAATTACTCTTAGTCTTAATCTTCCTTATTTTAATTTCTATGAGTTCAAATTCATCATGTAACACATTTTTGAGTAGTTAAGATAGTATTTGTTGTCTTTATGGTCAGTGTCAGTGTTGTTATTATTAATTAATAATACCTCCAATATTTCGCATTTAACTTTTTTGTATCACCAATCATAATTGAAATGTTTTGATATTCAAAGCCAGAAAGAAATAAAATGAGCATTGGATCATTATAGAATGTGTATGGCAGTGAATCCTTTTATATTGTCATTATGCTGTCTTCAACTTTTCGCAATATTATTATAAAATATTTTCAGAAGATATTAAAGTTGATATTAGATTTCCCAATAACATAAGGTCTCTCTTCTTATATAATACATCATAAATATGTGAAATAAGTATAAAAATGTAAAAAAAAAGTGGATTTACATAATTTTTACAAAAATTAGTCTTAATCTTCCTTATTTTCCTTCTTTTCTTGTTCCTTTCTTTGATGAACAGCAAGTTGTTCCTGGAGGAGACCGATTTCGACTGTAAAGTTCTTAAGGAGTTTAGCTAAAATAAATACAATTCCGAATAATACAATGCCGAGTACAGCAATGTACATATTTCTCTGATGCTTGAATGTCTCAGTAGCGTAGAATTGAGATTGATCGTTTGTTGCTTGTCTTCTTCTCATAGCGTACTTGGCTTGTTCTGTAAATTCCTGAGCAAATAATAATGAGAATAAGCCAATAAGACCTAATAACCAATATTTCTTTGAGTAGAACAAGTCAATAATCTTTTGGCGGAGTTTGAGTGGAAGAGGGATCAGTAATAGAACGCTTCCTGCAATAGCTAAAAGCTCTAAGAATATAACAAGTGCCCAATAGAGCATTATTGTTTTTTGAATAAATTTTACGATTTCAAAAAAAGTCCAAGATTTTTTCATAAAATTTGACCAAAGAACCAACTCACCAAAATTTTTCAAATGTTTACCATTGGAAATGTCATCGTTTTTGGTAAATTTATCCTTTGGCTAATATAATTTATACAGAAATGGATAGTTTTCTCTTATCTTTTATGGAGAAATATTTGAAATAGCTTTTCAAATCATCAGTGGAAACATTTAAATGCTCCAATGGTTACAAATAATGATTTACTTCCGAATCTATATCTTATTTTGCTTTAAAAAGATATTTTATTTGTTTCATATGAAGGATACAATAAGGAGAGTTAATTTTGAGTTATTATTGCTAGATCATTCGGTTTTAAAGTCCAAAGATATACTCAATTCTTAATGATATCATGAATTTTCAATGAAATTTAAACAAAATTCTCTCTTGACTAAAGAATATAAAAGAAATAAAAAGAATATCAATTCATGTAAGATCAATAAACATTATATAAACTTTTATCTATACAATAATATAAATACAAAAAAAAATAAAATATATATATAAATTAAATTCTGCATTTGCAGTTAACATCTTCATCATTTGGATCCTCTTTTGCCTGTTTTTGCTTCTTTACCTCTTCATTTTTCTTCGTTTCGTCAGAATTTACCCTTTTTTCTTCTTCACTTGGTTTTTCTGAGGAAATTTGTGGCTTCTGATCGGTGTTGTTTTGTTTTGGTGGTTCTGGTTTTGATTCCTGACTAATTTTGTTATCATCTGCAATTATTGGCTTTTGTTCTGTTTTTTCTTCTTCTTTAGGTTTCGTAGTCTGTTCTGGTTTCTTTTCTTCATTAATTTGTTTATTTTTGTCTCCTTTGACGATGTTTTTGTCTTCATCGTCTTTATTTTGGCTTTTTTGTTTGTCTTCATCGTCTTTATTTTGGCTTTTTTGTTTGTCTTCATCGTCTTTATTTTGGCTTTTTTGTTTGTCTTCATCGTCTTTATTTTGGCTTTTTTGTTTGTCTTCATCGCCTTTATTTTGGCTTTTTTGTTTGTCTTCATCGTCTTTATTTTGGCTTTTTTGTTTGTCTTCATCGTCTTTATTTTGGCTTTTTTGTTTGTCTTCATCGTCTTTATTTTGGCTTTTTTGTTTGTCTTCATCGTCTTTATTTTGGCTTTTTTGTTTGTCTTCATCGCCTTTTTCTGATGTAGTCGAAGAATTGGAAGTTGATTGTTCAGAAGAATTAACAACAGTCGAAGATAAAGATGATGAAATTGATTTGTCTTCATCTTCTGACTGCATCTCCTTCTCTATTTTGTCGCTGATTTCTATATCGATAATTCTTTCTTCCCCTTCATTGATTTTTGATGGCGATTCATTGTCAAAGGAGAAACTTACTTTTTTTAGCAATGGTTCCTTCTTTGGACTAGAGACAGGTGCTATCTCTGTCATAGGGATGTAGTTTTCTTCACCTATGATGGAAGATCTCCTTCTTGGTTTCGCTTCTGGACTTGGTTTTGGTTCTGTAGGGGGAGCATGTGAATATAATATACTTGTGTGGTCTTCCACTGCACGAGGATGTGTATCGAGCGAGATTTTAGGGTTGGAATCTGTTAATTCGTTGCATTGGGAATTATCTGAGGGGGCACCACCAGTTATTATTGGGGATGGTGGAGTCGGGCTATTTAGTGTATTTATCTTTGGGAATTCGTTTCTGAGAACGGGTGTTGGAGGTGAGAATGAGGTCTTTTTGATAGGAATTGGCGGAGGTCTCTTTAATTTTGCAGCTGCTAAGTCAAATTGAGGAGAAGACTGAAGCATTCGAGGAACCATTGACATTCTGCGACCATAATCACCTGTAACAGGGCTCGCCTTCGGCCAATTCGGATCTCCGAAGTTTTTGGCGCTGATATCGAAGTTGTCCACTTCAGATGGACTTCTAATTTCGTCATGGCTTCTGACAAGGTGTTTCTTGTATTCGTTTGCTGGCGCTTTCGAGTTTGTCTTAGTCATAACTGAAGGATCGGATTTATAATGTCTTCTGCGCTTCTTAGTTACAGGAAGGGCCTTCAGGCACTCGATACTGTCATGCCAAGCAGCTGGTCTGTTCTTCTTTTGAGCTGGTGGAGCTGGAGCAGGTGGTTTAGCAGCAGCGGCTTGTTTAGAAGGCTTCGAATCAGAGGAAGATCCCGAGGAATACGATGAGGAACTCGATGACGACGAGTAGTAGTAAGAATCGCTATCGTCATCCGAAGATGATGAGTATTGTGACTCTGTAGAGATACTTGACGTATGAGAACCTGTATAAAAACGTCTACTTGTCGACCAAGAGAATGTTGAACACGCTGACGATGACGTATAACTGTAAGAATCTTCCGAATCATCTGTTACTTCCTGAGCTTGTTGCTGAAGGTTGAAAAGGAACTGACTCTTCGAAAAGTTGTTGCCAAGGGATTGTGTGTTTCGTGGCAACAAAGGAAGCGGAGAGGACATTGGTATCTCAATGTTTGTGGATGGGAGATTTGTAGGTATATTTGCTGGTTCATCGTGTGGTGGAACGATATTGACTGATGATATTTTGTTTAAACGGTTCTTTGAGAAGTTCTCCCAGTCGTATTTCTCTGACCAACTTCCTCCAACTTCTTTGAGGGCTTCGTTGAGAAAAGCGATAAGCAAATCATACTTTGGCTCATCGCCGAACTTCATTCTCATGATGATATAGTAGATTTTAACGAGTTGTTTTGGTAATTTTAGACAGAATTTTTCAATGTTTGTAATTTTCTTGGTCTGAGCCATGATCTTGTTGTTTCTGTTTGTCTTCCAAGGTACATGATCAGTCATAATAACGAGGAGAGAGACAAACCAGCTATAAAGATCGTCTCTTCTGCCGAGTTCGCGGCCTTCGTGAGCATTAATCGATGCGTATTTCATTGTTCCGACGAAACCGACAAAAGGACGTGGAGGAATTGGTCTTCCTGTCTCTGCATCGAGGTATCTTCTACTAATTCCATAGTCAATCAGAACAATAGGATACATTCTTGATCCACGTACAAGGAAGTTATCTGGTTTGATGTCACGATGAATAAAACCTAGCTTATGGAAAGCACGAATAGATCTTAACATTTCGATTCCAACACGAATCGAAGTTGATAGTGAGAGTCTGTGACATGGAGCAACATCTTTAACTTTGCCAAGTGAGGGACCTAGTAACTCCATTGCAAGATAATTATTTTTTTCGTAGCCTTCTCGGTAATCTATGATCTTTGGAAAGTAAGGGGAACCTTGGAGCTTTTCTAAGAACTTTCGCTCTGTGACAAGTGATCTTTCTTTGCCTTTTTTCGGGATTTTTAGAGCGTATTCTTTCCCATCATTGTTATTTTTTGTTACTTTTACGATTCTTCCGAATGCTCCCCTTCCTATAGTCTTTTCGACTATGTATCCATTGATAATCTTCTCTGGAGTAGGCGGGGATTCATTCACCATTCAAAGAAATTTTTTTAAAAGAAAATAATTTCAATTGACGATACATGAGAAAGTTTTATACTCACCCACCCGTTTAAAAAAAATAATATGTATTTCGAATAACACTTTTCGAAAATAAATTTGATAATAAAATTTATGAAAAGTGACATAACAATAAGTTCTGTTCTCGGGTAAATTTATGAGCAAGCGAATTCCAAATTTATATTGGTTTGTGATACGCATAGAATGCCATTAAAATAAAATAAATTTGAAAAACTAATAACGTTTATTATCTAACCCTTTATAAGTCTTAATTTCTCTCAATTATTGATAGAAAGACGGATCTATTAATAATCAAGCTTTTACATCATTTTATGGATATTATTCTATCTGAACCCTTAACTAATAGCACATCCTAAATATATTCTTTTGGTCAGTCATTTTTATATTTGTTTGTTTCAATTTTGCAAGATGTCTAATAAATGTTTGTTCGCATAAATAAATGTTAATTTACTATTGGTCGCAATGTGAGCTGTGTCCTTTTGAAATTTAATGGCGTTTAGTGACAATTCCAATATTTCTTTACAAGAATATGGTTTTATTGCAATATAAGTGAGTAACATCTTCACCAAAGTATAATCTTTTGTAATCTCAATATTATATTTCAATGGAGTATAATATCGGCTAGTAGTATATGTTGACGGGTTTAGTGACTTTTTTTGTTACATCTATATATAGACGATGCATTAAAATATATTTATTTATAAATCATTAAAAAATTAACATTAATTTTAAAATAATTTATTTTTTTATCTTTTATAAAAGAAGCTATATATAGATGATGTCAGATATTCCGCGATTAATTAAACATTGTTTAAATCCTGAATGGGTTAAACTTCAATTTAAAAATGAAGATTGTGAATTATTAAATGAATATGAAAGCCAAAATAAGCTAATGAGGTATAAATATAATGATAAAGAATATTTAATTTCATGGAATCAATGGAGTCATAATCAAAGACCTCATAAACGAGAAGAAGAAATTGAAAATAATGAAATGGAAATCATTGATGACATTAAAGAGGATGGAATTCCTAAATTTTGTAGAAAAACCTTTAGAACTAAGTTAGGAGCATATAAACGTAGAGTATTAAATCCTGAATATCTTAAACATCAATTTAAAAAGTAAGACTGAGAATTATTAAACGCTAATGAATATGAAAACGCTAAATCAAAACTGAGATATAAATATATTGGAAGTGATGAAAGGTGTAAAGATAAAGATAAAGTTTATTCAGTTTCATATAATAACTGGCACACGTTAGGGATAAGAAAACATTTAGGAGATTATGGTAAAAGTTCCGAATTCTTCAAATCTAGTATGTACGAGAGAATAAAATAAATCAGAAATAATTATTTTCATGAATAAAAGATTCACTACCATAATGAAATAAAAAAATTTTAAAAAAATAAACTTTAAAAATTCATGTCTTACATTTTTGAATAATTTATTTTTTTAATTCGTAAGAAATGAGTGAATCAAAATTCGTGACTGTGAATCAATTAATGGATAAACTTTCACCAATTCTCACCCAGGTTAAACAAGTAGACGTTTATTTTGATGATTGCGTACAAAGTTTATTTTATAAAGGTAAGTTTAATATTAAACCTATTGCTTTTGCATTTGATGGTAAATTAATCGAAAATTCAAAAATTTGGGAATTATTTCCGGATATTGAATTTATAACAAATATTAAGGATAAATGGTTTAAACAACAAAACCACCTCACTAAAGTTCTTTGTAGATTAATGATTAAAACTGAGGAAAAAGAATTTAACGGGTTTAAATATCATCCATGTAAAATTTTAGAACTTGGTAACGAAAAACTTCAGAAAAAATTAAACGAAAGACTATCAAAAGATAAAGTTGAAAGAGTAAATAAACTCGCTAAAGGTAATGGTAATGATGAAGATGGATTTGATGAGTTCAACATTGAACTTTAAGAAACTAATGATTATTTGAATTTATGAAATCAATTATTTGATTTATTCTTTCTTCAATCTCTTCTATTCTTTTTGTTAAATCATCAATTTTCATTAATGAGGTGATTCTTGATTGAGGAATAGATTTCAAACTAATCACTCCTTTTATTTTTGAAATTTTGAATCCATCAACTTTAAACATTTTATTCAATTTACACGTTGTCAATTCTTCAAATAATTTTTTATTATTAGCATAATAGTCATTAAATTCTTCAACAGATGAAAAAATTTTTATTTCAGTAATTGGTTTAACAACGTTTATTTTTTGTTGAACATTTTCACTTTCATTTATTTCTTCCTCCTCTGTGTAATAAACAGAAATTCATCAAAAGTGACAGCTCTCAATTTTTTGACATTTGTAAATTCTAAATTGAATGAGAAAAATGAAATAATACTAAGCATAATACAATATTCTAGATTTAATTATAATTAGGAAAAGTTAGTTTTGAGAGTACTTTTCATAGGCATATAGAATGAAATCTTCTGAAAAATAATATCACATAAATTCATATTATTTTCTAATATATAACTATTTTAATTTTCCATTTGTAAGAGTATATTTTGATCGTCATCCTTTCATATGAATATAATTTATAACATCATTGTAGCATAAAAATAGCGATTCGTATTGTTTTATCCATTAAAAAGGTACATTCACTAGGCGATAACAGTAAAATGGGATGAAAATAGGATAAATAGCATCCCTATATAGTGCCTAACAATATTTATACGGGCCAAAAAAAATTTGGCGAGAGATTTGGCTAGTTAGAAAATTTAGAAAATTGAGAGGAATTTTTATTTTCGAATTTTTTTGGAAAGTTAAAATTGTGATTAAAAATCGTTTTCCGGGAGAACTAAGCATCTTATCATATATTTAAATCGATAAAAATATTAAATAATAGTTGAATAGTATAAATACATGAAATTATGGCTGAATATACAGAAAAAATGAACATATTTGACATTTTTGAAAATTCATACATTAGTTGGTGACAGACTCATAAACTATACTTTAGCTAAGATTGATATATGATTTCAACAACACATGGTTAAAATCGTAAAATTTTTTTAGATTTCAAAAGATATATATGGTAATATAATGGAACAGAGTCAGCAAATAGCATGTAAAATATGTTACAATTAACTTTTTATTATATCCAATAGTAGATATCGAATAGTTTCCAGCTTTATGGTTAAATATTTTCTTATCGAGCTTCTCTTTAACTGTTGTATTAAGGTTGTAAATTTTTGATGCTAGAAACTTTGGAATCTTCTTTGCTGCTGCATTTTTTCTTGAGAGTTCTTGCAATTTCGAATAGATCTGCACATTGTATGAAAAGGGGCTTTAAAATATCTTGAAAACAGAATAGGACTGCTTTTCCAAAGAATGCTTACTGTAAATCAGAGAGTTTCAAAATTGAGTACAAGATTATCATCATAACTTTTGATTTTGCTGCGAAAAAGGAAGACAATATATTAACAAATCATTTACTGTTGTTCATCAAAAGAAGAAAACTTGATAACAACTAATGATGATAAAATCAAGCTATCTTTTAATATTTTAAATTGATAAGACATTCAAAATATTTGAATGGTTTAAAATATTTTCTTTTAATTTCAATAATATATTATCATGATTATATAATCAAATTTAAATTTTTATTCAAAAAGGCAATATTTCAAACTTTTAATTTCAATAATCTTAATTCGGCAATAAATGTATTTAATTGTAGCAAATTTAATAATTCTTCGTCATGGTTAGCAATTTGGAGCTCATAAATTAATGATTTCTTCAAGTAAAATTCTGCATTATTTCAAAAATCAATAATTCTCTAGTAACTTTTCTTCAAACCCTAACCATTATAATATATGTAAAATAGAAAATAATTGCAAAGAAAGATAGCCGAATTTACTGGGTAGTTCTTGTGATGCGAAATAATTGGGAATTAACACCTAGTTTTAACAGCATCATTCTCTTTTTGCTCTCATTTAAATGCATTCGCACACTTTAATTTTGAAATATAAGAGTTTTGGAAATTATCAAATTTATCTGCTCAAATACTATAGATCTTCATAAGTGTTAATAGAATTACAAGGCTTACATATAGTGTTTAATATAATGATGCACATCATACTGGGATTTATTCCTTATTCATCTAGTTATTATAAGATTTACAACCCCATGAAAATTTAAAATTTTGTCAAAAATAGTGAATGTACCTTTTCCATAAATTAACCTTTTTATCGGTAGACCAATGCCGATTAATAAAAGAAAATGTAAATTAGCAAGTAAATATGCAACACAAGAATGATAGAAGGTTTTTATTACTCTATATAAGAAAGTATGAACAAAAAAAAAATATAAACAGGATTTTAGCATGCGCATCCTGATTTCTGGGACGATGTATTAACAGGGGCAGGAATAGCGAGATCCTTAACGAAATTCTTTTCTACTAACTGGTGAAGTATTGACTCGAATAATCGGTCGATACCGGCACCTGTCAAAGCAGAAGTATAAAAAACTGGTATCTGTAAATTGTTAACTGTTATATTGATTTCTTCGTCTTCAATAACTCTTTCTTCGAGTAGATCATATTTATTTGCGCAGCAAAAAATCAATGGCGCAGAAGAAGCATTCTCTCTAATTGTGTGTACCCAATACGAAACTGAATCTAAACTTTTCTGGTTTGTGATATCGAATACGACGATAGCACAAGCAGCACCTCTAAAATACATCGGGACGATTGTTCTGTATGTTTCTTGACCAGCAGTATCCCAAATACTTAATTTGTAAACATTGTTGTCTATTTTTACTTCTTTCTCTGAACATGTTGAGCCGATTGTTGAAGGTTGCGTAATGGAGAATGTTCCATCGCAGTATTTTTGCATGATTGCAGTCTTTCCTACGCTAGCATCCCCCACTATTACAATTTTTATTGAAGGATCATCACTCATTTGGCACTTTTAATTTGTATATGCCCAAACGGCCAAATGTCTATCAATTTATTAATTGAACGATATCTGAAAAAAAATTCTTTTCAAAAGATTATGTGACTCGATCAATACTAAATAATGTGTAAATTACACCAAAAATTTTTGACGTCAAAATTTTTCTCCGATTTGAATCATAGCAATCAAGTTTCTGGAACTTTTTTATATGATAAGTGAGTATTGTAGTTAGCGTTAATCAATTTAAAACAATAATTCCTGAAAAAAAACTTGAGGAAATGCAAATTGGCAGATCGTGTCAGGATTTTTCTCGATTTAAAACTAGTTGCAAAATGATGTATGATATGTAGTGGGATATTTTTGCTCTGACATCAAATTGGCAGACATGACACATGATTTGAAAAAAAATTATGCTGTCATGTCCATACAATGTTGAGAATGTACTTTCCATAAGTATTATAGTTGAATTTTCATACTCAGATTCATGTAGATTCATTTTAGAGAATTGATAGTACAAACTAATTGGTAATAATTCGATTAATGACAATATTGAAGTAGAAATTTTTATAGTTTAGGACCTAATTACTCTATTCATAACCTGAATATTCGATGAAACAATATATTTTGAAAAATATATTCTTAATATTCAAGAAACCTTGAAATATCATGAGAACGAAACAAAAATTTTAGATGTAGTAAAAATATGAGTAATAAATTGAAAATGTAAAAAATAATATTTTTCACAATCAGAGTTCATTGATTTAAATTATTATATTCTTTAATATCAAACAAATAAAACATATAACATTAGTCAAAACATTAGCAAAGAGAGTAATTAAGCTTTGGAAGTGATAAACTTAGGTTTGGTTGCTTAATTTCCATGGCGTTGAACTTGCAATCAGTTACTTTAGTTGTTGGTGGCCTTGACATTGATCTAGGAGTGCCAATTGAAGCAGATCTTGACATCATCATGTCATTTTGAACGGCGCGTTTAAATTCTGTACTCATATTCGTAGTCGATGCATTTACACTGGCTTTGGCCATTCTTTTCTGATACAATTCTAAAAGTTGCTTCTCTTTGTAGTCGAAATCGGCCAATTTATGGCGATTTGATTGCTGTAAACTCTTTAGTTCTTCTGCTTGTGCATTTCTGAGTATATTCAGCTTATCTTTGAAATCATATTGTAATTGATGCTCATTTCTATCTTGTTCGAAGGCCAATCTCTCATCAATTTGCGCCTGAACGTATTTCATCTCATCAAATCGCTTGGATTCTTTGAGTTTATCGAGTTCTAAGTATTTTACGCGTAAATCGTTCGAAGTTCTATTGTAAGAGCGCATTTTTGTATTACTATGCCATTTCTTCATGAATTCTTCGATTTGTTTGTTATGCTTTTGCTGTAATTGTTGAATTGATTCCTTCATTTGTTCCAATTTCTGATTTCTCTCTTCCATTAATTCTTCATACTGTTGGACCATATCCTTTTGTATCCTGGATGTATCTTCTGAGTACTTGTTAACAATGTTATCTTCTATTTTTTGTTTTATGCATTTTTTATATTGTTCTGATAAACGATCGATTTCTTTTGTAGCTTCTACATATTTTTGCAATTGGTCTGTTTCCATATAATCTGTGCAGTCCTTCCTTAATTGCTTGATTTGTGGTGGAATTCTCTCTGGATAAGGAATTTTTTGAGGATTGCTTCTTGAAGAGCTACGGGAAGAAACAACCTCCAGTGGTTCTGATGGTTGAAAGATAGTTTGCGAACTAGATCTTAAGGATGAAACTTTTTTCTTTTTATTTGTGTTTCTTTTCAGCCCGAAAAACAAATCATCTTCCTTTTTAGGATCTTTCTTGATTAATTCGGAATACTTGCTTCCAAATTGGATGCTCTCCGCTTTGAGAGTCATTTTAGATCCGTCGAAGAAAAAAAATTGTTTTTGTAAACACTTGTGTTTTAGCCTGTCAATTCAATTTATCTTGATTGATTTAAGGGTTTCGTTTTGCGAAAAAAACGTACAATACGCAATTTCGCTAAAAAAACATTTAGCTAGTAATTTCGACCTTTGACTCCACTCAAGACGTCACTTTTTTAATTTTGCGGTATCATATTTTTGGAAAATCTTTATGAATATTATATAAAAAGTCTCTTTAATATCTATATTTCATATTTTTATCGATTTTTAAAGTTTTTGCGAAAAGTATTCAATTATTTTTGCTATTTGGTCGGGTAAATGTCAGATTTGCGACATTTTCTGATATGATATTCAGATTCTACGTTGATAATAATGCTTATAGAACCCTCTTGCTATTGTGTCAAAATTGCGAAACCGATAGCAAAAATATCTCGCAATATCAAAATTGAGATATTGAGTGAATTATGCATTATAGAGATTAAAAATCTGATTTGTGAAAACATCTCATCAGTTTCTAGCTAATTCAAAAATCTTTACTATCTTATTCGATTAAAATGAAAAGGGAATAGTTTCATTATGCTTTAAATGACAGCCTTATAATATAATCATAGTTTTCGCTCAATATGCAGCATTTTTTTTTCGAAATCTATGGTCAATATCCTAAATACTGATTGCTTTGCATTCATATCTCTTACATTTTCTATACCCACATCACTATTCATTGCTATTCCTATCTTTTTCATTTTTGTTTGTTTCTCATAATTTCTCAAAAAACATGATAACTTGATATTTGTAAATATCATACTTTATAACGTAAATAAGAACTTGACCTATTAAGAAAAGCAGTAATGAAAAGAAAATCTGAAATTCATAAAAATTACAAGTTTCTGATGACAATTAGCTTAATTAAACCAGGTACAAGATTATATAATTGTATTTTCTATCCAATTATCCATATAATATCTTATCCAGAAAAAAAAACTTGATCAATAAAAGGTGACCAAACTATTTTTTGAAAGTCCGCCATAACTTTAATGGTACTATTTCAGCGTGTACAATGAATACAAAAATTCTAAGAGTGCCACATAAAATAGTACTTTAGACTTGAGTTAATGCTACCAAGCAAATGTTAAAAAGATGACTTTAGTGTTTTGATAATCAAAGATTAAAATCATTATTGTCTAAATCAATAATCATAACGACAGAAGTTAATGTTTTTTCATAAGTGCTTTAAATCCACTTTTAAAAGTATACCTCAAAAATCAAAATATCAAAAAAAATTGGCCGATAGGTTTGGCTTTAATTTTTGTCTGCTTTTATGATTTGATATGGATGTTATAATTTTAAAAGTTGAGCCAAATTCACCAATAGATTTTTGAGATTTGCAAATACTCAATAATTTTCAGCGTGTTATCTTTTATTAAAAGAACTATTTGGTTTCAGTATCATATAAATTGATATTTACTTTCTATTTGAACCTTCATTTAGCTAATGATTTAATAATACAGATTTCATCTAGTCCTTATAAGAGAATTTTGAATTTGTTATAATAAAAAAACAAACAGATATAGCTTACACTTCTATAATAAAGATACCTTTTATAGAAATCAGTATGAAATGTGTTTTGGCTTATTGGAAGCATATCAGACATAATCGCCATAATCAAAAAATCTATATACCCAATAAGTAATAAATTTGTCGATATAGATTTTCCATAAAATTAGTTTTTAGTCTGATCTTAAAATAAATTTAATTTTTTATAAAAAAAATCACATTTAAAAGTACCTTTTTAGTAGCTCGAAATCCTGTTGGTGGATTTCGGGCGTACTTCAAAATTAGCTTTTCTTCTACATATGCAAGCTATATTTTAAATATGGAGCAAATCGGATCGGCGAAAGGAGTTTAGTTACCTTTGATCAATACCAAATGATTTTTTAACTAGTAAATAAAGTATTTTCTTTACACACACATTGTATATCATAGTTTTTTTTTGGTTTCGCAAAACATCCAAAAACAAATGAGTAGGGGTAATTTTAGCTAAAAGTGACACGCCTGTAAAAAGTGACACACCCGTGAAGGGTGTGATTACCGATCGGTAATTTCGACAGTTTAGAATTTAAAATTTTTTATGGAACTGTTGCGAGTTTCATAAAGAATTTAAGGAATATAAGCAAAGATTTGAATCAAAATCTTAGACCTAAGCCGCTCGATTCGCTCGCGGCTTCCGCGAATTACAGATCAGCAAAGATTTGAATCAAAATCTTCGAACTAAGCCGATCGCTTCGCTCGCGGCTTTCTTTATTATTTTAAATTTGCATATTTCCATCAAAAGTTCATAAGGTAAAAAATTTCGTTTATTTTTACTAAGAAAAAAAAGGTTTTTGATAATAAATTTATTTTATTTCGAAAAAGTAGCAATAATCGTAAAAGGGTATTGATAGGCTTGCTAAAGTAACTAATTTTAGCTGTCAAATACTTTTGTATTTTGAAGTAAATTAGTATAAATTTGTTTTTACTTTTATTTCGAAAAAGTAGCAATAATCGTAAAAGGGTATTGATAGGCTTGCTAAAGTAACTAATTTTAGCTGTCAAATACTTTTGTATTTTGAAGTAAATTAGTATAAATTTGATATTATTTTAACTCCCTTTGAAAACCTCAATTTTCCATACAGAGGGAACGGGAATAGCATCCAATATTCCCTGAGAATGGTTGCGCATTCTCAGTTCCCTCTATATTTCGAACGAAGCTCTCATCGGTCTTTTTTTTTAATACTAAACGTTTTTTTTCCCTGTCACTTTTAGCTAAAATTTGGGTTTGCCAAAAACAAATATGCTATAAAAGTGACAATTTTAGCAAAACGAAACCCTTAATTGATTATGTTATACACTATGTATAGATTGATTTTTTTAAAGAACAGAATATTATTTCAATTTTTGCTCAATGGTTTACATCACATTGAATTTTGTTGGTTTGACGCAGTTGTAATATTAATTTTGTTGTATTTTTAATAATCTATGATGTGCTAACATATTTGTATTTCAAAAGAAGTTTTCAAAAATATTCTCAACGGAAAATGATATTCCGAATTTGTCTAATTGGATTATATCATTATAAAAATTAAAAAAAATATAGCAATTAATTCTGTGATCTAAACAAGACAAACTTGCATGAGAATGTTGATGGAATTCAATTTTTATTCAGAGCTTCCCGCCATTTAGTAGGCTGAGCCATTACGGGCAAATGAGGAAAACTTGAGAAAATCTCAAACTTTATCCGAAAATTTCTGCCATGCTGCCATGAAAATAGACTCTTTATAATAAATATAAATTGAATTATTTCATAATCATAAAAAAAATGAAAAGCATGAATTTGAAGAAAACTTTATTTTCTTCCAATCATTTTCAAATACTTTGTTATTATGTCGAATTATAGATAAAAAGAGTATTGTTTCATGATATACATAACACACTTTATTTAAAAAAAAACATAATATTATTTACTTCTAAGATCCACTTTTCATTCGCTTTGCATCGGACTTTTTATGAGCAATTTCCACAGATGGTGATTTATCTGCGTGTTTGCTATGATGGTGTTTCTTTTCCGCATTCTGCGCAGAAATTTTGTTATTAATTGATCTATTTTTAGGAATATTAGGTCCAGATGTCTTTGTTGGTAAATTCGAATGATGGTGAGTATCTTTTTTGGGTGATTTTGTTCCTGAATGAAATTCAGGAGACTTAATTTTATATCTATGGCTATTTTCTTCCCTTTTTCTTGGTGTTTTGTGTCTCTTATGGTCAGGAAGACTGAGTTCGTTCTCTTTATCATCTTCCGTGCATAAGTATTTTGATTGAGATGATTTTCTGTTTTCAAGAATAATATCATCTTCATCATCATTCCAGTTCTTGTTTGTTTTGATTTTTTGAACTGATTTTTGTTTGGTTTTAGACTGTTTCTTTGATATTTGGATTTGTTCATCATCAGAAGAAGAGTTTGTGATGAATCTGCTCTTCTTCTTTATTGGTGGATTGTTCTGATCATCTTCTGATGCGAATAAATCACTCTCCAAATAAATATAAGCTTCATTGCTGAAATCAGGTCTCTTCCAAATGTACGGCTGTCTAAACATTCTTGGATTATCACGTTCTTTAATGGTATCAACGTGAATTTGATTTGAAGATACTTTGTGGTTGATCCACCACTTAATTCTAACAATTCTTCGTTTGTCGACTTTCCAACGCTCATCATAGATGTTGTGTGATTGTTTGTTCTTGAAATCAATAGATAGTTGTGAGAGAAAACTGTTGTTCTTCGAATCAAACAAATAAACTTGGACGGAATCATCTTTGAACTTCTTATCTACATCTAGAGAGAACTGGTATGAAAATGTTGTTGCCTTCTGCGGCCTTGTTCTTATTTCTTTTCCAAGTTTCATTGACTTGAAAACGAAATAAATTGTTGTGTTTTCTTCGAAGTTTTGCGTGTTGAGAATTGTTCCAGAAACTTTGAAATCTGATGTCTGTGGCTCGAAATCTTCCAGATTTGACTCCATCGTCTCGTAATTGGATTCATCGAGTAGATCTCTACTGACAAGAATAGAAGAAATCTCTGGTTCATGATTTGTTTCAATTTTAGTTTTCTCTTTTTCTTCTTCTGAAACAACAATTGGATTCTCTTTTTCTTCTTCTTCGGAAACAACAATTGGTTTGTTTTCTTCTTCTTCGGAAACAATAATTGGTTTCTCTTTTTCTTCTTCTGAAACAACAATTGGTTTATTTTGTTGAATCTCAATTTCTTCTTCTTGTGGAACAATAAGAATATTTTCTTCAACATTCTCTTGTTGTTTGATTTCTTCTTCTGAAACAATAATTTGTTTGTCTTCTTCTGGAGAAATATTAGTTTTCTCTTCTTGGATTTTAATTTCTTCATCTTTATCTTGTTGTTTGATTTCTTCTTTCTCTGTAAGTTTTTCTTCTTGTATAACAAGTTCTTTTTCTGGTATTTTCTCTTCTTCTTGTGGATTAATAACAATTTCTTCTTTAATTTCGATGTTTTCATCTTGAGTTGATTCAACTGTGTCAGTAACTGCATCTGAAACAGTTTGATGCTGGTAATCACTTTCGTTGTATGAATTCTCTTCTGATTCATATGAAATAGATTTAATTTCTTCTGTTTGTTTCTCAACAGGTAACTTCTTCTCTGTTTCAATGAATTCTTCTGTAATCTTTTCTTCATTGAAAACAATAATTTCTTGTTCTGGAGATGTTTCTTTGATTTCTTCATTAGAAACATTTTCTTCTTGTTGTTTCTCTTCAATCTTTTCTTGTTGAATTGTTTCTTCTGATGGAATTTCTTTGATTTGTTCATTTTCACTGAGATCGTATGAAACTGTTTCTTCTTTAATTTCAGTTTCATTTGGTTGTTTTTCTTCATCATATTCATATGAAACTGTTTCTGATTGTGTCTCAGCTTTCTCTTCTTCTAACTCTGTCTGTTGTTTGACTTCTGTTTCTTCTTCTTTTTGTTTCTGATTAACAACAGAAATAATCTCTTGTTCTTTAGCTTCTGAAGGAGTTTCAATGATTTCTTCTTCTTTCTCTTCAATTTTAACTTCTTCTTGTGGAATTTCTTCAATTTTCTCTTCTTCTTTCTCTTCAATTTTAACTTCTTCTTGTGGAATTTCTTCAATTTTCTCTTCTTCTTTCTCTTCAATTTTAACTTCTTGTGGAATTTCTTCAATTTTAACTTCTTCTTGTGGAATTTCTTCAATTTTCTCTTCTTCAAGACTAATTTCTTCTTGTGGTAGTATAATTTCTCTGGAAACAGTTTCTGAAGGAAATTCCATCTCTTTTGATGATGTTTCTTGTTGTTTTTCTTCAATTTCTGAAATAATTTCATTAGAAATCTTTTCTTCTTCAATTGGTTGTTGTTCTGCAACAGGTACTAATATTGAATCAGCAGCATTGATTTCTTCACTGTTTATGACTGATTCTTCAGATTGATCTTGTTCTGGTAATTCTTCGACTGTTTGTATTTCTTCTTCTTTTGTTTGAATTTCTTCGATTTTTTCAACAGATTCTTCTGGAATTTGACTTTTTTCGTTTGTTTGCAATGATACATCTTCTTTAGATTCTTCAAGTACTTCTTCTTGTACTTTCTCTTGTTCTGGAATTGTTTCTTCCACTTTTTCTTGTTCATTAGGAACAATAACTTCGTTTTCAATGATTTCTGGTGCTGGTTCCTCAACTTCATCGTTGTTTGTTTGTTCCTGACGTGGTTTCTCTGGAAGTTTACGATACTGGAGACAATCTTTAAACAAAACTTGGATTTCATCAATCAACATCATGTAGTTTTGTGGTCTGTAGATAGTAACCTTTGTATCTTCGATTGTTTCTTCATAAACATCATCAGATTTATCAAATTGTGAAAAATCAACCAGAATTTGTGATTTTTCTTCTTCAAATAGAGGTTGCTCGTTATCATTAGTAGATGTTTCATCTTCTTCTTGTAATTTGTCATTGATTTCTGGAGATTTATTTAATATTTCGTCACTTTCTTGGGAGCTTTCTTCTTCTTTCTCTTCAACTTTCTGTTCTTGTAATGGTTTCTCTTCCGATTGTGGTTTTTCGACGATAATGTTTGGTATATTTTCCAAATTTTCGCTTTGATTTGGAATTTCAGTAATTTGTTCCGTAACATCTGTATTTTCGACCTGTTCCTCGTTGATTTCTTCTGATTTTTCAGCCTTATCTTCAATTATCGTTGTTGAAATTTGAACTTCATTATTTGGCTGTAATTCAACATTTTCTTGAGGGTTAACTTCATTGTCAGGTGCTTTTTCTTTGTTTTCTTCTGATAAAATTTCTGCGGAATTATTTTCAAATGATTGTGGAATTCCGTTGAGTTTCTGGGAAATTTCTTCAGCTTCTAGTAATTCTTCGTTTGGTTTTTGTTCAATTTTCACTTCTTCGGATAAATCTTCTGAAAATTGCTGAATTTCAGCATTTTCTTGTGGATTTTCTTCATCCACATGTAGTATTTCGATATTTTCTGGTGATTTTTCGATTGGTTGTTCCTCAATTTTAGTTTCATCGGAAATGATTTCATCTGTTTTTTGTTTTTCGATGATTTCCTTTGGAGTAAGATCGTTTTCTTGTAATTGCTCGTCTACTTTCTGTATTTCATTAGTATTTTGAGGAATTTCATCAAGATCCTGAGAAATTTCGAGATTTTCTTGTGTATTTTCGTTTTGAATTTGATCAGCGATAGATTCTTGTGATGATTCATCAATTTCTTCTGATGTCGTTATTTCGTTATCATCAGAAGTATTGTCACTTTTCTCTGAATCATTGTCATCGACTTGGGATTCATCGTAAGATTCATGCTCGGATTCAATGGCGTGGTTGTTATCGGTAATATTTTGCGGCTGTTCATTAATAATTTGTTTCTTTTCCTCAATAACTGGTGATTTTTCGGAAATGACTTTTGGCAAAGTTTTCACCCGCGCTCTTCTTTCCCTAATTTCTCGTTGTATTTCTTCAATGTTTTCGGGATGTCGCTTCGAATGGCTTATCGCAGAAGGTTTGTAGTTGTCAGGATCAAAAAAATCAGGAAGGATGAAGTCTGCGTGTAAAAAAATGGAAGGCCGATGCTTAGCTTGAGGAGGAGTTATGTAATCTTTTACCAGTAAGTTAATATCATGGTAATGAATGTAAAATTTTGAATAAATTTTCCCTATAAAGAGATTTTGATGGGGGTTTTCTTTTACTATTATGATACTCAGATTGTTTGGATCCAAATTCATGATTTTTGTGGCTGAGAGACATGAATTTCCAAGTTCTATATCATTTTCATCAGTATGACCGATTAGCTTGAATAAAAACAATGTCGCTGGCTCATAATTTGCTTCGAATTTGAAATTCTCTTTCCAATAGAGATCTATCAAGTCTGATACATTATTCGTTTTTTGGATGCATGAAGGATTGTCTGTTTCTATTTCAACATGAACTGCCTTCAGCTTCCCATAATCTCTTAACGGTGAACTTGTCCAAGAAAATTTCTCGATATTGAGAGAGATTTCCATTGGCAAATTATAAATAATATCGTTATTGTCATGAATATTGGACGTAAAATAGATCAATTAAATGATAATATCATCCGCGCTCTCTGAATGTAAAATGTCAGTTATAAAATTTTCCTTACATCACAAAAAATCTCATTTTTAAGAAATTCCAATGTGATTATAAATATCTTCATGAAATATAATAATATGTTATGCATATAAAATTCCAAAAAAATTCGAAAATCTTGTTTTTAATGACAAATTTAATGAAATTATCATGAAAAAATGATTTTTGAAAAAATTTTGGAAATTTTTGTTTTGCTATTTACTGCTATTTAGTTATCACTCACAGAGTTGTCTTCAGATTTATCAAAAATTTGTATTTATCAACTCGGTTGAATATATGATGGCAATTGAGTTAGAATTGGCCTTCGAACATCCGGAAGAATCAATGTCACCAAACAATATATTCAAATTTTTATATCAATTGATACAAATATGAAGCTTTTGAAGAAATATGATCTTGAAATGTGTAACAGTATGAAAAATAAAAGCATTGATAGAGTTTTATAATTACACTTTATACTTTATAGCGATGAGAGACCATCTTAACAAACAATTGTAAAATTAAAAACGAATTAAATCGTCACATTGAATGCATGAGTTATGAGAATTTGGAATTACTGTATTAGATCTGTGGAATTCTTCTTCTAAGTTTGGAGGGGCGACTTCGACATCACATGAGAATTTTGAAATTTTAGTACACATCTGGGAAAGTTTAACAAAATCGGATGGTGAGTTACTATGACATACACTAATTTTGAAACGTCCGCTTTGGGTATTTGAAATTTCTGTTTCTGTAGGAATATTATTAAGCGCAGGACTATTGTTATTATAATAATTATTGATTCCTGCTTCTGCAATAAGGTCACAGCTCGATGAACGAGTAGGCATTTTCGGCTTGATATTTGTCAAACAGGGTGATATTGAAACTTCAATCGAACGTTTCGTCTTTTTATTGGTTGGATGTGGACAGCAACGAGGGAGGGGCTCAAAGTCTGAGCAAAAGCAATCTTCTTGATTTGAAAGCACGAAAGGCTTTAAATTTCGTGCACGATGTATGGGAGAATCGAAGATAGGAGATCCAAGAAGATCAGCCACTTCCCTCTCTGGGTATTGATGATCACAGTCTATTTCCTGCTCCAAAAGAAAAAAAAGTGCTCAAAATTAAAACATTAAAACCGCCGAAGTAAAGCGTCAATTTTTTCGAGAAAGTCACTAATTACATGTTTTTATGAATAATTAATCAAAAAACATTTATCAAAAGTGACACCTGTTATTATTTGAGAACTAAAGTTTAAAAGTGACAAAATTGTATAGCCATAGTTTTTGCCCCTGCATTTTAAAGCTATATTTTTTTAAATTATTATATATATTTGTTATATATATGTCATTATTTTTAAAATAGGGGTGTTCGGAAAAATGAATTCAACAGTCATTTCAAATATTTGTTTATACTTTTCAAATCTATTCGATTTCAGAGGTAGGGCAACGATAGGTCAAAAAGGCTTCTCTGATAGATTTCCTTGCCTTTTGGATATGCTATAATATATAGCCTAGCAAAAAAAAAAAAAAAGGTATTGGGGCTTCCAGGCACTTCGTGCCCTCTAGCCCCGAAGATGTTTTGTCACTTTTCTGTCACTTTTCAGGGAAAAAACATTTTTATTGTATATAAAATGAATTTTACAAAACCACCGTTACCCTTCTTTGGAAATAAGAGTAGATGTAAAGATATTCTATTGAGAGAACTTAAGAAACTACCGAATGGTCTAACATTTGTAGATTTGTTCGGTGGAAGTTTCTATATATCTCATTTGTGCCATACCGTATTCCCAGACTCAAAGATTATATGCAATGACTTCGACAACTATATGAACCGTCTCAAACATATACCAGACACAAACAAAATATTGAGTGAGTTGAAAGAAAAGATACCTATAGGTAAGATGGAACGTATACCATTAGATAAGAAAGATATTGTCAGAGAGGTTTTGAAAAAAGCAGAGTATATTGACTGGGATAGTATATCTTCTAGACTATTGTATAGTGGTTCTATAAGAGTTCATGACATTGAAACACTTATGTCAAACGTTTTATATCTTAACTATACAAAGGTTTTCAAAGAGAACATAGAAAAATATACTGAGGGTATAGAGTTTGTGAGATGTCGTTGGACAGAGTTGTATGAAAAATATAAAAACAAGGAAAATGTTTTCTTTATAGTGGACCCGCCGTTCTATAACACATGGGATTTTCAATACCAAGTAGACTGGACTTTGAGAGACTCTTTAGAAACTTTAGACGTTTTACATAACCATCCATGCTTTTACTTTACATCCGATAAAAGTGGTTTGGAAAGTGTTATGAGATGGTTAGGGGACATACATGACTATGATTTTAGATACGATAAGATAGAATATGAGAGAGGTCCTATAAACCGGAAAAAGTGTCATAACAAAGAAATTTTATTGGTAAGTAAATGTGGTTTGAAATAGGACTACTTGTTTTAGGTTTTTTCCATTGTGTCATTTACTTATTTGACGTGGCAGAAAGATATAGAGAATATGAAGATGAACCAATGTCTGCAAATGTTCAGCATATGTACTCGTAAGAGATATTTTTATCTAATATTAAATGGACGCACAGAACTTAGCGAATGCACAGCAACCTGGACAACCAAACCCAGAGAATATTCCAAATGAAGTTAGAATACAAACTGCAATGGCAAACTATGGTCAAGTGCCAACAGATGTACAAATGCAAACTGCCATGTCAAATGACGCTGCGTTAGGTTTGCCACCATGGTATGCAAATATGAGATGGAAAGAGTTTTATACAAACCCTGAAGTGGGATATAAACAACTCTATGCAGATGACGCGAACACAGGAGTTGACCCGGAATATGTTTTCTACCAGAGGAGAAATAGAATGTATGAGCTCCAGTTAAAAAATGCTATGGAACTCAACAGGAAACGTAAGAGACTAGGCGGACATTAGATTTTTACATATAGTAAAATGGGTTTCTTTGGAAGAATAGGAAACTTCTTTCGAAATGTTGGAAGAGGTATATGGAATGGAATAAAATCTGTCGGAAGAGGAATTTGGAACGGAGTCAAAAATATTGGCAAAAGAGTAGGTCAGTTTGTTGGTATTATACCTAAAGACCCTGAACCAGAAGAACAAGCTCCTGTTATACAACAGCCTGAACCTGCACCACAGTCTAGTTGGCAACCAAATCCAACACCTCAACCGTATTAAAATTATATTTTTACCGTTCGATAGTAGTTGTATATGAAACTAAGTTCTAAGTAAAACGCATGGTATAATGGAACTATTCTCTTTCTTCCATCTGTTGTAAACCATACTTGAAAGTCTGAAATACTTCCACTCGGCGGTTCGTATAGCTTTGTAGGTTTTTCGTAAAAGTCATTTGCCAAGCATAAAAAAGAGTTTTGTGCACCAGAAAATGAAGCATGAACGATAATAGCATCTGAGTCGAAAACATTTTCATATGTTCCATTAGGGTTTTCGACTTCATAAAAGTTCGGGTGTACTGGATATTCTGCAGGCTGATTTAACATCCTCAAAAATCTATACCATGCCAAGTTGTTATATTTTGTAGAAATATAAACGTCTTCTCCAAGGTCTTCTATTCTATTGAATTTAACAGTTGCATTTTTCCTGTCATATATAATATCGAGATGGTACTCTCCTTCGTCAATGTTGTACTGTTTTGCATATTCGAGATAGATATCGTTTATTTTTTCTTGAAAAGCTTGAAGAGTTGTTTCTAAGTTTACAAGCAAATTCACTTGTAAAAGTTTTCCCTGTTCAAATTTCTCATACGTACGTTTTTCTTTGTTATAGTATCGAACTTCAAAACCGACCGTAAATGGGAAACCATGTATGGCTTCTGAAATGAACTTCATTCTACGAAAGCCAATAGCTTTTGTGACGGATGGGTCTCTTAACCATCTTAAGGGGTAGTCAAAACGATAGCCTTCATGCTTTACGGTTCTGTCTCAAACTTTTGACCTACGTTAGTAAAAAGTTCATCTAATGGTTTAGTTGTAGCAACTCTTGAATTTTTTTTTCTATTGAAAGCATATTTTATCTAGAATAAAAATGTCGAAAGAAACAGCGTCTATGAGAGAAATACAACACAACCGACAACTCATTTTGCAAGCTCTAAATAAGAACACAACAAACTTTTCAAACTATTCTAAGATATCTGAGTCATTGAAAGAAGGAAACTTAAAACTGACATTAAACCCATTGACAGACGAGTTTCTATTTCAAGACAGTAAGAACCATACTGTTTGTATAAATCCAACAAAAAGAACTTTAAACGAGAAACCTATAGATGAACTTCTTTTGAAAGCAGATATTGACAACAAAGCTGACTCTTATATACGAAAAAAAGAGATCTGACATTGTGTCAGATCTCAGTAAAAGTGACATTTACATGTCAAAAAAATAGAATGAGTTTAAGTAATTAAAATTGAGGGTGAGAGTAGTATTGTATGAAATAATATCTCTCACCCTCCAATTCATCCTATGGCGCCGAAAAAATTTTGGTGAAATGCGACCACATTTCACCAAAATTTCTCGGCGCCATATAGAGAACTAGAGCCTGTGAGGTACTGATACTATCCATGTACCTCGCAGGCTCTAGTTCCAAGCCAAAATGGCTAAAAATTGCCCGCAATTGTTCACATTCCCATCTTTTGTTGGTAAGACGAAGAATATGAAATAAATTATGAAGAAGATAATGATGAATAAAATATCACTTTTTATATTTTTGACACGTAAAGTTGTCACTTTTCTGTCAAACTGTTTTTATCGTTTTCGTATATAACATGTTGAAAAGAAAGCTGACAAAGAGTATGTTGACGATGAGTTAGCATATCTGGCTAGTGGGTTAGTGAAGAAGGCAGATAAGGAATATGTGGATGAAAAAGATGAAAAAATTAAAGAAAGGGTTGAATGGTATAATGAACGGACAACAAAGATTTTAAAAACTAAAGCCGATACAGGGTGGGTTTCAGGATGTTTAGACCTTAAAGCTGACAAAGAAACTGTAGATATGTTGACACAAACGGTTTCAAGTCATACCAGAGGTTTAATGGAAGATGGACAACAGTTGAAAGAGCTTGAAAAAGGTGTTACAGAGTTAAGGAATACAAAAGCAGACTCGACATGGGTAGCTGGATATGTAGATGCAACAAAAGAGTATATTTTCACATGGACAGAAGGAACATACCCACAAAAACATCATACACATAGCATCTCTGACGTAAATGAACTTCAAGAAAAGTTAGATAAGAAAGCTGACAAAACAGAGCTTCAAACGTTAAAGACAGAAATACTTCAAACACTATATCCTATAGGTTCTATTTACACGTCAATGAACTCTACCAGACCAGAAGTAGTACTTGGTCTCGGAACTTGGACTCAAATAGTCGACAGGTTTTTGTATTGTGCAAACTCTTCAAAGGAAACAGGTGGAAGTAAAACGATTTCAGGTGAAAACCTACCTGCACACAGTCACTACATAAATTTAACTACAGCTGAAGCAGGTTGGCATAAGCATAGATATTGGGATTGGACAGGAATGACAAAAGGTAAAGGATATGATGTTAAAGACGACGTTAAGTTTGCTATAAATTGTTACTGGGATGACACTCAGGGAGGAGGAAGCCATACACATCGCATTACAGGGTATACGCAAACAACGGGACAGAGTAAAGACTACATGCCACCTTACATGACAGTTTACGCATGGTATAGAAATGCTTAGTCGTCATTTTCAACTTCTTTAGCATATTCGTCAGGAGTTGTCTTATATTTGTTAGGAACTGTCTTTGAAAGTATACCACCTTGAACCTTAACAA